GGAAATGTTCAGTGGCATTTAGCTCAAGCAAGTAAGATTATTGATTTTTATGTACTTAAAAGGACTGCACAGACTCCATCTCTCTGCCCACATTACAGGCGCATGCACAAGGGAAAAACCTGCAGGGCTGAAGATGCTCTGACTGGCCTGTTGTGATCACAAATCCCCTGAAGACATTTATTTTCTATATATAAATATATAATCTAATACCAGACATAATCTTTATAATAGTGTCCTATGCTAACTTGACTTTTGTAACCCTTTTCACCATTTTTAACCATGTTACTATGTTGTTACATCTTTAAAAACATACCAGGAGTGTTTTATTTCATTCACGCTTGTTTGAGTAATCCTTTATTATTAGTCTGCCTGCATCTCCAAAACTCAAAATGCTCTGTTCCAAGTTTTGTCATGAAGTGATAGTTTTCAAGATAGCAACTACCGGTCTTTTGTTTAGATGTGATTGGGAATTCCAGGGCTGATAATAATAATTATTATTATTAATAGACTCACAATTGAAATTTAAAAGTTGTAGTCTTAAACTTGTGGAATTACTGATTCACAAAAAAATATTTTCTCTCAGCACATGGGATGTTTCGGAGCAAGTAATTTTTTTCTTAATAATCATAATAAGCCATTAGAATAATTTAATCTGATTCACCATGGCTTCTTTATACATAATAATTGTGGTAGTCTATATGCACTTATAATACATGCTTTGTCCATTGCATATCTTACAGGTAAACTTAAATAAAATGCTTGATGTCTCTCAAACATAGAATAATCTGACACTTTAATATGCATAGTGGAAGGCCTCCTGTGGTGTGATGTACAGTTTAAACACCTCCTCACACACACATACCTGTTCTCCTGCTGACTTACGCTGATGATGTCTCCCTTCCTCTGCCCCTGAAAGGGCCCAGGCTGTCAGACACACTCAGACATGAAGTCCATTACTGTCAGCTGCACATAGTAACTGTAACCTCCCCCCAAACAGCTGCAGGTCTTAAACAGAGGCACATCCACCCACACCAAGCCTGTGTCATGATCTGGGCCATTATTTTCATTCACAAGGCTTCTGCTGTGTGGGAATAGCATTGTGGGTGTGATATGCCTCTGTGATATGTGTACTTTCCCTCGAATACAGTTTGCCAAAGGATTAACAATGACATATTAACAAGATTGAGAAGTACTCTCAATCTTATGCACAAGGTAAATATTTTCTGTATTTGAAAATAGTAGGCCTAGTTTAAAGATGGCATATCATTAAAGTCTCTCAGATAGGTCTATGTTTAAAGCAAGCTGTTAACTTTGTTTTTGCATACATCGTAGAACAGTACTTCGTTTCTCTGTGAGTTTCACTTTAAAACTGTTGACCATTTATTTCTCAAACTGCAGTAGTTAAAAGTAATTTGCAAGTGTTGATCCTGTAGATAGGTTCAGGCACAAACAAATATTGGCCGGTATGGGATGGTGGAGATGAGCTACAGCCAGAATGGTGATGGTCTGCCGTGGTCATCAGAATAATGCTGAGGAGAATTGTTCCCCCTGCTGGCCAAGAAATAAACTACAAAAGATGACTTGAATTAACCTTAATTTTAAAAGAGGCCTATCTCTGTGTATAGAGAACATTTGTGGTTAAAAGCAAATAAAAATATAAATTATAATAAAATTAAAGTAAAATTATAAATGATCAAACTGTTAGACCATACTACTGAGATTGCTTTCATTAGTTTAAATTGGTGCCCCTCCTCCTCAGTCTGAGATTAAACTAGTGCTGCAGACTAAAAATTCGGCAATAGCATAATCTCTGAAATTAAGATGCGCACAAAAACAGAATTTACCGTTTCATGCCAGTGAGCACAAATTAAAGTTTTGTCATGTGCAGACCTGACAGCACTTCCTCAGGGGCTTTTATTATGAAACTCAACAGCGGATGTTACGGTGCGTTGTCTTGTTTTCTTGTCAGCGCGGAGGCAGCGCTGCAAAGCATTGAATTGCCCATCCACTCCACGAGAGCAGAGGGCGTCAGGGCGAGGGGGGGTCCAGTCCTAGTCCAGCGCAAACATGGCGGATCGTGGGGATGTGATGTGTTTATGGTCCCACACTGGGGCTCCTATTCCGATCACCTCAATACCTTTACCCGAACCCGCTCCAACAAAAGAAAAGCCGAGGAAGAGGAGCGCGTTTTGCTTGTCCAGGATGAAGTCCCGCGGCGGCAGCAGCAGCGGCTCCAGGAAGGACCACCAGCATCAACCCGCCGTGAACAACAACAACATGCCGTTCATGATCCACTGCCAGATCGGCAAAGAAATCAAACACATCTGCAGCAACTGCCGAGGAGCCGAGCTGGAGGGTGAGCGCCCGTGTCTTTAAACCCGCGGTGAGGGGCTTTGAGGGGTTATAAACGCGCTAAATTATTGCCAGTCGTCAGTGGCCGCTCCCTGCTTTCCCTCCAGCATCATGCGAGTAGCTGTCCCGTACATTGACCACTCTCTACTTGAGCTTCTTTGTAACCTTTGGGACATCCTCAAATGTTACGCAAATGTAGTTGAACAGAAATCAAAACTGGCCTTACTCCGGAGGCAGTATAATGGACCAGTGGTGGTGGTTATGACATAGTTATAACTAACCGGGATCATTGCACTGGAGACCTTTATAGACCGCCATTTAATGCTGTGAATCATGTGATCACAGAGACTCCAAAATATCAATTAATATTTTCAACTTTATAACTATTGCTTAATCTGCCTATTTTAATTGCCTATTTCTGTTTCTGAGCCACGAGCTATTTTCTGACTTCAACAATACTGATTAGCTTATTTTTAAGCTATTTTAATACTTTCCATTAGGCCTGTCACGATAATTACTGTATCGACTTTTCATTCAATATATGAAAGCTGGAACGATAATTTATCCTGTGTAAAGTTTCTTTGCACTTCTGGGAAATATTTCTTTATTTTCTGGCTACATGATAAGATTTAAGCTGTAAATGGTCAAATTAATAACTTCTATGAGTCATTGCAGATGGAAACTAAATACTAAAGTGTTTCATTCTGCTGATTATTTATTGCAGCTCATGATCTTTTATTTTTTATCACTATTGTACATTTAGAATAGTTTTAAAATCTGCTCATGGTTTATTGTGTCAGTGGCATCAGCTAGTTTCAATATTATCATTTATCATCTGTATTTGCTTCAGCAATATATCACACTTCAAAATTTGCTATACTGACTGACCTACTTTCTATTGGTAAAAAAAAAAAAAAAAAAGATCTGTATCAGCACTGCGGTTATGTGTCCATCTTTGCACCTAAGATCAATAGTCTTCACAGTTGACTGGTAAATTGACTACAGACTATAGAGCAGCTATGCAAAACAGTAAAAGTTGTCAGCTTTATCTTGCATTGAGCTCATCTCATTTGTTGTTGACCTGGGTGAGTCAAACTCCAGTAACAAAACAAAGCCTGGGTTCGACTAAAGGAATGTAGCCCTGCAGACTGACTCATGTAGCTGCTCCCTCCTCACCACTGGGGGTCAGAGCATTATGGGTCACCTCTACAGACTAAGCCAAAAGTGACTCCACCATATGATTTATTAAGCAAATAACTCACCACAGACTGAGTGCTTGGGACCTTTTCACCTCTAGGGTCAGAGTAGTTGACTTCAGTAGCATATTTCACATGTTAATCTCAAGACTAATAAAAGTCATGTTAATTATGCAGTTGGCTAATATGGTACACATTTTAAATTCACTGCTTTACTATGAGCTGACCTCTCTCACTGGGGCGTTGTTCTGCATATCTGTGGGCTGGTTCACTGTGCGGTTGTGAGGGTGGCTGTATGCCGGGGGGATGTTGTTGGAAGGCTTCTTTGCTGTAGCCGCTGAGCTAGTAGATTCAAACTGACATCTTCTTTCTAGCTGTAGGATTGCCTCAAAGCTCCTCCCTTTCTCCTAAGGCTTACTGGTTAGATTGGATATATAGAAATGAATTCTCTCAAAGTTATTTTCTTGTTTGGAGGGAGTTTTTAAGGAGATAATGATGAAAATAATACATTACACAGTAGCACTCTGTGTTCTAAACATTTCAAATCATCAATGATCAGCTTGTGTCTTTTTAATTGAGAGGTCTAATTCTCAAGTTGTGTTGGAGCAGAGTTAAGACTTTTGAGGAATAGGAGTGCATTCACACTTACACATGAAAATTTGGACTAAACTGGGACTACATCTGAAAATAAAACATATCTCACAGCCCCATTACAATGTGGCTTTAAGGAGTACCGTTTACATCACATGTGTCATTTTAGGTCTCCTTGGAGTACTACAACCACAACCACAACATATATTTTTTGTTCAAATTGCATGGTAATATATACATGCATTGTGACTATTACTATTACTACACTTAATGTGTCCCTTCTGACTTGAATTGACTGGCTCACATTTGTCTATACATCTTGTGTATAGTAGGAGTTCAGTGCAGTGAGAAAGATTATCTGTATAGTGTTAAAAGAAGAACTGGTGTGTAAAGTCAAATCACCAGGACATAAACACTGCCAGTTCTGCCCACTGTAATTATGGAAGTGAAATACTCCCTTGGCCGTGTACTTTTACATTTGGCATACATTCTCACTAGTCTATAATTGCTGTCTTTGCTGCTTCTACACTGTTGCTTTCAGACACTTTAACTGTGAACAGTGATTAGCAGCAATACAAGCTTTTCTTGACTTGATTATACAGAAGCCTGTGGGGATTCCCTCCCTTGACATTTTAAATCACAGTCATTTGATCCTCTGTACCTCAAATCTAAGTCTTTACTTGTGTGCTGTATTATTACAATAGAAAATCAAAATCAAATGAAAGGATTCATTCCTTCACCATATAAACAATTGTTAATATTATTACCATTCCATAATGCTAGTATAATGCCCTCATTGTGAGGCAGATCCTATGTGTTGTTTTCCTCTGCTTTATGACCTTGATGTTATTTGTTTTGCAGCTGAAGAAGTGGAGCGGCTCGCAGCGATGCGCTCCGATTCTCTGGTACCAGGGACACACACCCCGCCCATTCGACGGAGAAGCAAATTTGCCAACTTGGGAAGACTTTTTAAACCCTGGAAATGGAGAAAGAAGAAGAGTGAGAAGTTTAAGCAGACTTCTGCAGGTAAGAAATATAATCATTGTACCTCCATTAGCCCCTGTTGTTCAGCTCTTTGAATCTGCCTCAGTCTCTAGACCCTCTCAGCAGCAGATGAATGTCTCCCTGACGCCCCTAGCAACAGCAGCAGTGATGTATGGCCGCACAGGGCCTGTGGCACAGAGCACAATGATATAAGGGCTGCAGCAAAGACCCCTGGCCATGATGAGGCCATTTCAGGCTGGACAATCAAAAAGCCCATGCCTTCTACCTATTGTTACCGGTTTACTGGATAGATATGAATAGAGCAGTGCATACCATACTGTACGTTTGTGTATGGTGTTGTGATCTAAACTGATCTTTAACAGTGATACATCGTAATAAAATTCACAGTTAGTGGTCTCACCATAGGTTATTCCAAAATTGTCTGATTGTCACAAGACAAATTCACATTTTGATTTTATACCGCATGTTAAGTGGGATCAGTATGGCTCCCATGGCTTTTTGAATTATGATATGAAAGATTTGACATTTTGTCATCTGTTATTTCAGCACATTTAAGTGATTTTATTGGTTCAGATACTCAGTTGAACAAAGTACATAGAGATTTTACCTGTACCTTTTCACTTTATAGTATTGGAAAGAAAGATGTCCACTCGCCAAAGTAGAGAGGAGCTCATTAAGAAGGGAGTTCTTAAGGAGGTCCAAGAGAAAGGTGAGGCTACATAAAATGTCTATCCACAAAAATATTTAATGTTACAGTCACTTGCTAAAATTTCTGTCTATATTACACCTTATAAAGCTATTTGTAGACACTGTAATTGTCACATTAAATTAATTCCTTTAAAAAATATTTCATTGCTGTCTATGTTTCTTAATTACCCTGCTTTATACTAGATCTTTGTGTGATCTTTTTTTCTCTTCCTTCATATCTCTGCAGATGCCTCTTCTCCCCTAGAGGAGGTTAAGATGGAGAATGGCCAGTCAGCAGGGGATGCTTCGGAGGGCAGTGAGTTGATGGAGGGAGCTACTGCAGCTGTCGGTAAGTGTAAGAAGCGCTTCATGTATTAATTTAAGCAGCTTTTTAAAATGTTTTTTTTTACATTTCTGTTTCTGTCCTCAGGCTCATTGGAGTTTCCGATACCCAGTGAAGGTGCATGTCAACAGGACCAAGCTCAGAAATCTAGCCAAGCTCCACCCACAAAGAAACCCACTGTGTACGCTGTGGAAAGCAATGAATCGTCCCTTTCCAGACCACCAGTGCTTCACAAACAACCTCCAGCATTGCCACCTAAACCCTTCACCAGACTACCTAACCATATCGCAGGTATGCTTGCTTTCTGAGTGAAGGAACACTTAAAAATCACTCACTACTCCTACACAGTATAGTGTTTTTTCCATTATAAAAAATTCAGCTTAAAGGTGGTTGCATTACGCATTACTATAACAAAATCTTATATACAGTTATATTTTCCCCCTAGAAAGAGATAAGCCACAGCTTCCCTGGGGCAGACCGACTTAGGCAAGGCTGCCAATCTGTGCCACTGGCCTCACTAGCATACATCAGTTTCATACTAGACAGTGTGGCTCTGTCTAGTATGAAACACAACAACAGGTTTTACCAATGGCATTCCATTGTGGCACCAGGTATTCCCAGGGGTCAGTAAAAAAAACAAGGCAAAGCATTTCCGCGAAAAATATCAAACTTTTGTTTTTCTTTTGGTTCAGATGGGACTCCTGTGAAGTTGCCATGTATGTCGGTGAAGCTGTCTCCACCTCTACCTCCAAAGAAGCTCCTGATCTCTGTCCCAACAGGGAGCATGGAGCCCACATCAATTACCTTCCAGAAGTGCCCTGCCCCTCCCAGCCATGCCCCGGGGGGCGGACACTCTCTTCAGTATGGGACACTGCCCGTTCCCCTTCACCCTCCAAGTAGAATCATCGAGGAGCTCAACAAGACTCTAGCCCTTACCATGCAGAGGTTTGAGAGGTGAGTTCTTGGTGTTCTATAATGCTGCATCAAAGATGGTAAAATTTAGAAAATATATAAGCATTATTATTAATGTTTTTATTAACCCCCCCTACACACACACACTCATACAAAAGTATATTTGGTGTACTTTTAGATAGATTTGATTCTTATCTTGAACTATTGCACTGAGTCAATGGACTTAGTTCCAGTGGTCGAGATGTGGCCAAAACTCAAGGAGACCCTTGGATTAAAATCCAGACAATTTATCTAATGTCTTTGCTTCACCACTGTTATATGCACCATGATAATTACACTCTCTTGATATTTCAAGTTAGTGAATATTTTTCAGCTGCTGTCTAAACCTTTATGCTACTTCCCCTGGTTGGTCTATGTTTTTGTATGCAGGTCACACTTTTGAACTTGTGATCTTCCACCTCATCCATCATTTTGATCGGTTGCTTGTCGAAAGATTTATTTTCTCTGGACCAACCTCCTGTGTACTGATGTTGTTTTCATTCATTTGGTTTAGTATTAGTAGTTTAGTAGTTTGATACACACACTGGATGCTCTTTAGCATGTGCAGTATTCAACACTGTGGTGGACTTGAATTCAAACTTGTAGACAATGACAAGTAGGTGTGGAGCAATGATCTAACAGAAATATTGTAAAAGTTTCACAATAATATCATGGACTGTCACTATATATCGGATTACAAACCTCATTGCTTAAATGTATTATTTTCTTGCAGCAACAGCTAAAAGCAGAACAAACCACATGATCTCTCCATTTCAGTGCAGATAACATAAACAAATCTAATAGTAATGATACCATCACAAGCTGGCCAAGGCATTTAAAAAGGGAAAAGTATTGTACAGGTACAGGTGTTAGCTTCCCCAAAATATCACATAAACATATGCACAGGCAGGGTCATAATATTGTACCATAAGTTTTGTTACATAAGATATTGTTACATCCCTAAGTGGCAAGTGGAAAATTTTGCAAGATTCTTTATAGTATACTGTATATGCTGGGTGTTGTATGTATGGGTGTTGTTTACCAGATTTCTTAGCAGTTAATTTTATAATGAAAAAGCATCATTGTGCCCAAAACATCTGCATTTTACAATGTATGACTTTTGACCTCTGCAGCTCCATGATGCATGCTGTTCCTACGGTCATGATCAAGTGTGATGATGACAAAGAGAACCTCCCCATTGAAGCAGAGTATGAGGACTTACCCGATATGTACAAGGACGATGAGGAAGAGGAGGAGGAAGACGAAGAAGAGGAAGATGAAGATGAGGAAGACGAGGAGGAAGATGATGATGAATCACTGTTTACAAGTGAGAGTTACTGATTGTTGTTTTATGGATTTGAATGCTTTTCTTGCTATATTTTGCTCTTTCTTGCTCTCTTTGTAATGCATTTGACTTTTAAAATTTAAAATATTAGGGTGCAAATATTACATTTAAAGGTGCACTATGTAAATTTTCTGGTCGAGGGACAGCCACCTACTAGGCTCCTTGGAGATTGCTTTAATTGGAAACATATATATTTCAATGAAGGCAAGCATGTGATGAGTTGCATGTCAGATCTAGGGAAAGGCGAGCTCACAGTTAGAATGCATGTTGTCGAAGGCATTTAATTTGCAATAAAACACCGGCAAATAAATTCAAGATAGAGCTCTATAGAAACAAAAACATGGTGGATCCCTCACCAGAAAAGCTATGCATAACAGTGTTTATGTTGTTTATGTAACAGTGTCCAGATATTCAATACATGTCAACCCCAATTAGCTGTGAAGGAGCTTTGCTGAAAAACAATAATGAGTGAAAAAATCCATGGAGCATTAATGCACTGTCCTGTAGATCAATAAAGCTGAGCCATGTCAATTTCCCTTGTTCCAGGCACACTGGCCATGAAGGTGCTACAGAGGGACTCTTTGGCCATTAAGATCAGCAACCGTCCTTCAAAGAGAGAGCTAGAGGAGAAGAACATCCTGCCCATGCAGTCAGATCAGGAGAGACTCGAATTCCGTCAGCAAACTGCCACCAAACTCACCAGGTTAGCTAATGCCCTTTTCTACTAGCTGGCATGTCTCTAATACAAAGTAACAGCTTATAGAAGTTATCGGCAGACCACCTTTGCCAATGGGAGCTGTCATAGTGTTAGCCGAGAGCACCTGATTTATGAAGAGGACTAGGGGAGCAAGACACAGATAAATTGAAGTCAAGGGGAAATCTCAGGTCAAACTGAAGGCAATAGATACAGTTAGAGGATTAAAACACATGCATTTATCAAGTTTTTGGCACATTATTCAAATCCTTGCTCTAATATAAATGTTCTTACTCAGATCAATTCTTTTATGTATTCATAAATAGAAAAGACATAAGGGTCACATACTGTCATGTTAACCATTCAAATCTAACTCTTCATAGTTAATAGAAATCTAATCAAACATTTTATTGGATTTGACTGGATTTTTTTAAAGTTGAGTAATCACCATTTAACACATTGTCATTGATATAAATTCAGATACACACTGCAAACCAAATATGGCATTTGGTTGTGTGTATGTTCTTAACTCATTTTGCTTTTTCCAGTAGCTTAAAGGACCCATATTACCTCATCACACATACCTGGACTTGTCAATCTCTATTAAGGTAGCTGCTAATTTGAAAACTACCACTTCTTGACATCACATGGTATAACTGAGCATTTTGAGCTTTTAGATAAACCAGGATTGCTCAACCATGTGTTAATGAAACAAAATACAACTGGGTATGTTTTTGATGAGATAGCAGCCCACAAGAATCCATTTTGAGTAATATAGGACCTTGAATATAAAAAGAAAAAACAGATTTCCTGAACTATATATACTTATTTCTACAGACGTTTGAGTCAACGGCCGACAGCAGAAGAGCTTGAGCAAAGGAATATTCTTAAACGTAAGTAACATGCCACTCAGTTAAAAAAAAATTTAAAAAAGAGAAATACCTTGATACCTTTTTATCTCAATTCAGCTCGAAATGGTTTGGAGGAACAAGAGGAGAAGAGGGAGATTAAAAGGCACCTATCCCGAAAGGTAAAACAGAGAATACGATCAGAGGATATGGTTTAATCCTGCTTGACCTTGGAGGGAAGCACCTTTAAACAACATCTCCTTAATGAATTGGACACTTATGCTATTTTTAGTAGTAGTAGTTTTGTAACCAAGCAACCATTTTGTACTTACCTTCACCACTAGACGGCAGCATTTTCTGCATAATGCTCTATAGGGTTGGTTGTAGTGTTAAGATTAAAAAATAAATAAAAAAAATCACAACACATAATAACTAATTAATAACTAATTATTTTTGATTGGCTTATGTGATTGGCAAGGGTGTCCAGAGATTTTAAAACTTGATTTAAAGCAGATTTTTCTGTATTTAAAATGTTATGTTCCACTTTTAGCTCAGCCAAAGGCCTACCGTAGAGGAGCTGAGGGAAGCAAAGATTTTGATTCGCTTCAGTGATTATGTGGAGGTTGCTGAAGCTCAAGATTACGACAGGAGGGCCGACAAGCCATGGACAAGACTAACAGCTGCTGACAAGGTTCAGTCATTCAGAAAATTATTCTAATAAGGATTAATTGCTTAATAATAATAACTTATGCTAAACACTTTTTTCCAGGCTGCCATTAGGAAGGAGCTGAATGAGTTTAAAAGCACAGAGATGGAAGTGCACGAGTCCAGCCGCCACTTTACCAGGTGAGACTGATTTTGATAAGTTACAATATTTTATTTAGTTTCATTTTTAATTTGCTAACAGTATGTCACCCTCCCACAAATATGTCAACATTAAATATTGGAATTTGTTTGGCTGACCAAGCTAACATGTACAATAGCATGAAATCACTACCTCACTGTTTCTCAATAACAGAGGACATTATGGTATATTGTCTTAAACACATAGATGTTATATGTTGCTTGTATCTGTTACTTGTATCTGTATTTATTTATTTTTTTTAATCAACATAGCCAAAAAAAACAAATGTTTTCTTTGTATATTGTATTGAATAAAATGAGTCAAATATGGATCGCATGTGCCACCATAGTCTCAGTACAAACTTGTGGGAAACACTGTATCTATAAACATCACTCAATGACAAGTGACAAAATGACTCAATTCAAATTCTTCTCTAGGTTTCATCGGCCATAAACTGTGTGAGGCTTCAGCAGGGTTCCTGTCCTTCCACACATGCCTCAGTTGTTGCCCTTGAACTGTGAACGGCTTCTCCTCTGGCACTGAAGTCAGACTGAAGGACAGGTGTGGACACTTGGAGACGCAGAAAGAAAAAGAGACAATAGAGACTGAACTGAATGAAACTGAGCTGGTGTCTCCTGATTGGAGATTTAACTTCTTGATATTCAAAAGTTTAACTCTCATTTTTATAATGAAATGATGGAGAGGTAACTCAGCAGCACTTTTTTTATTTTGGACTAGGCCGGAAGGTTCTTAGGGGTTGAACACAGAATCTGTGCCAATTGTGGTTTGCAAACGTTTGGAGGGAAGAATGGATTCATTTTCTTTAATCACAGGGATTGTTTTCTTGCCTCTTTAATCATGGACTCAATCATGTTAACCTCTGTTTAGGAGTTTGCTGGTTTTGTTTTTGAAGGCGATGTTCCTTAAACGTAAAGGCAGCTTTGTGCTGAGATAGGCAGCTGAATATGAAACCAAAATCTCCTTAACTCAAATGTCAAACACTCGCAGCATTAACTGTCTGCACAAATTGAAAAATAACCACAAACCCAACCAAGCAATAATGTATTTGGTTTGTTAAGGTTGGGGTTTCATTCAAAAAGGTTTTCAGAAATAATTTCAAACCAAAGCAACTAAACTTGCCATTGAAGTTGCATCTCTTGTTTGGAGTTCAGTAGCCTCCTGTCACTGTGCCTCCGGTGTTGTTTACAGGGAATTGCCAAATTAACATTTTTTTTACTGTTATTTTTACAGTAAATGTTTCTGAACCCTGAATTAATGCCTTTTAAATCCTCAAACTTCTTGGAATCTGCCATTTTACTTTTTCATTGTTTACAGTTTTCTCAAGGTACATAATGTTACTGACATTTCTGGAAGAACTGGCTGTATGTTTCAATGTGTTTGTATGTCTGAGATAATGTTGGTATGATTGTGTACAAAATGTTGATCCCTCTCAGAACTATACGTATGTACATAACAGAGAAAGTAAGCCAGACTTTTCAAATGTTTTTGTAAAGCAGAACAACTGCATGTGAGTATTAAGTTATTGTGAGTCTTCTATGATGTATGCACTTTCTTAAAGAAAGAAACTAATTTTAAAAGTTGACTAGTGCATCTCTTTGACTTTGTGTAACAATTATTCATGGGGTTAAAAACAGACTGGTGGAAACCCTTTAAGTTAGTTTAAAATAGGTGTCTTTACTCCAGTAATTTTCACAAAACATATATACATATACAGTGGATTGCCATGTCCAAATCTCAATACTAAAAAGAACAGTCTTTCTGTCAAGTGGGCAAGGCAAACCCCAGGCTTACCATACTTGGGGCCATTTTGTTTAAGTGCTGTGCATTGGCGTACCACAGTACTTGTGCCACAGGTCAATGGCTTTTGCCACAATGGCATCTGTGTTCTCCTGTGGGATCTAAAAGGCAAGAAATAAAGATGAAAAGCAAAAAGTATGAAACATAAATAAAGCTGAAAGCAATGCTTTCCAAATGTGCATTTCCACAATGGATTCCCATTTTCTGTGCACAAATCAGTCCTGTCTATGAGAGTCTTACAAGAATGAAACTTCACACATTCTGAATGGTTTGACTTATTATTTCAGAGCATCAGTGCAAAAAAAACCAAAAACAACTATATGCAACTGAAATCGTACAAACTGTGTACTTACATTGCACAAAAACTTCACCACTCCTTCAGGTCGGTTCAGGCCCATTAATACAATTTTATAGCTCAAAAGTATCTCCAAAGCTACAAACACAAGAATTTTACAGGACCCACTTATCACCTTGTCCCAAACCCTGAAAGACAAGAAAACTAATAAAGCTCTCAAAAGTACAGAATTATATGATCATTGTGAATTCAGATTTGGTTTCAGACTGGACCTTTATTTATTTAGATACATTTGGTGATCCAAGGTTAGAAAATTAATAAACAAAAGAATCTGACCTTTGGAGACTAGACTCAGGAAGACAACCAGCAAAACAGCATCTAAACCAGAGATTATATGGAAGCTGCGCTAAAGCTCCAGTCTGCTTGAAATGGTTTAGCAGCCGAGGCTCTTCTTGACTCAGGTAGTGTTCAAGGCTTTTTGGCTATGAGAATAAAAATGTATTATTATTAGAATTTGAATATTATTTATAATCAACAGGGGATAAAGGTAAATTCATTGCTTACCAGGTGGGGTAGAGAGTCTCCGAACTTTATGTGGAATTGATTGACAAAACATTTAATGAGCCAGTAACAGTCAACAGGATCATCAACAATCTCATCCATGGCCCGGCTTATGGACAAAAAATCTTCATTCCCCTCATCCTTCATCAATCAGAAACAAATTATCAGCATAAAGTACAACAATGATTCAAAATTCATTATAATGTGTCTTGGTGAAGGTAACCCTCTACGTGTAGGCCTGTCACAATAATAAATGAGGAAGTGTGTGATATATGCCTGAACAATAGATAATACTGAAACTAATTTATGCCATTGACACTATAATCCTAAGGACCCTAACCCTAACCAATAAAAATATAAAAAACATGAGCTGCAATATATTAGCACAACTGTTACGTGGTAGTGCTACCTATATGGTGGTTTTCTTACCAGTGGGGAGATTTCTGAGCATCTGGGGAGCACCTGATTCTCTAACTGAAACATTCGCAGGTAAACATGAGTGGATGGGGTGGAAACATTTATGTATCGCATCACCTCCAGAGCCTCCAAAATGTCCTGGTACTGCTCCTTCCTATAACCACCAACCAATGCGTGAGAGTCACTATGGGGTGGTAGAATACCTATTGAAAATGCAGTACATAGCAAAAAATAATAAGATCTCTGTTTAAGCAATATCATTTTTAATATACGAACTAAATATTTTTCTTACCCAGCAATACTTTCCATACATGTATTCTGTACATAGACGGGATAGGAAATCTTTGGCTAAATGTGCTCAGCTTTTCCAAATCTGCCAACAAATAACAAAAATGCAATTTTTTGTATAGTGTATTGCACGTGTCTTCTGTAAAATGATACAAAAACTAACCTAGGGGATTGTCTTTGAGCAATATTTCCAAAGACTTCTTCTCCTCAACTCCTCTAAAGCCAACTTTCTCATAATAGGCTGATCGAAAATTTCTTTGAGGGTCGTCAGCCATGGTCTACCTAATCAACATAAAAAGAAACTATTATTAAACTTACACACGTTTTGCAAAACAAACAAGTACTAAAAGTATAGATTGGCAAGACAATGGGCATGAAGACAGTGGTTTGTGTACATTATAAATATCCACTGCGTAAATATGATCACAAATGATATCGATAAATAGAAAATAGCACTGCACAAACACGCACCAAACTGACACGTTCATAACAATGACACCATGGATTAAACTAACAACAGCACATCAGCTGTTTACCTGTAGCCTACTGCCTAGCTGAGTTATGTTAGCATAACATTCACTTTTGATGAAGCCCTCAGTCCACTACACAACAAAATAATAAAATTATCTGCAAATTACCCGTACACTGGAGCTACACTTCTACTGAAAAAGTGTTGTTAAAAAGACTTCGCCTCATTGAAAATTAATACCCATTATTGCTTGCTCCTCTTGCTGCTAGCCACCAATGCTACAGCTGCCCGAGCGATTTCCACATCCGGGTACTTAACTACCGTATTAAAAAAACAAAGTACTAATTTAAAAGAGTTTTGTTTGATAAGGCTTATTTATCGTTACGCCATACGTCACAGTAAATCTTCTATTTCACTTTTGATATATCTTTATTTGTGGTGAGAAAAATCACTTACACTGATCTTCGTACAAATTATTTTGAAAGCTATGAATACATTTTCCCTTTCTTGCGCATTGCCGAGGTGAGCCCTTACGGTACCTCTGGTGGTGCTTTGCACAAATGTTGGGAATGATTGGGGAATATTATAGAAACAGTTTTAATAAGGTAGGCCCACTACACTCACAACTGAACTTGGGTTGCCAGTGCCTGTATACATGCATACATGTTTATATCATTCTCATATATAGACCAGCTATCCCTCAGGTGAAAGCTCAGAACCTCCAGAATTCACTGCAGAGGCTGCACAAGCATTAGCTAATGATTGGCTGACTGGCAAGTGCTGGAGTTTAACAAGTGATGTTTCAGATCAGAGAATCATTAGTTTAAACTAACTGAAACTGGTAACCCAAAGGGACTGAGACTGAGAGACTGAATGACAGAATGAGGCTCATTCTACTTACTGATTTGATAGTTATTCTGAAAACCAAAACACGAAATTATAACATAAACAATTTGGCCCCCATGTCTAATATTTTTGTAATTAACTATCACCGTCACCCTAGAATTGTTATCAGTAAAAGTAATATTTGATTTGATATCTACCTCTTATCTGGGGACACAGATAGCCTAGATTAACTTTATGGAATTTAAAATCAAGATTTGACATACAGATCCTTTAGGACTGTAGGTAGTCTTAAAAGGGGGTAAGTTGGGGTAAGGGGTAAGTTGTATTAAAGATTGGAATTTAAAAGTTCTAATTTAAAGCAGGACTCACTTGGCCTTTGTGAGTGTTTGGCTTTGGTTTTGGGGCACCACTCAGCAAATGTTGAGAAATATTACCAAACTAGTATTATCAATTATCTAAGTTAATTATGAAATCATTGATTAAACAATTGTTCTGAAGGTCCATAAATTCTGGCCCATATCAGTACCCCATATCTGAAAATAGTATCACTATTCACCAAAGCAAATGTAGTTAATATGATTAGCTGAGATTCAGGAGCAGGACCACGCCTCAGCCGCCCTCTCCTCTCACCAGCGAACCACAACTCACTTCGACCATGCCTCTAATTTCCCAGAAGCCTATATGTAGCAGCCTTTCCCATCATCCCAGTTTGTCTCTGCTAACTCGACCCCCACCCTCCCATCCCATATTTTGTCTTTCAGTCATAAGACCCCTACATGGGGTCCTGTTCCGGCTGGGCCAATTGAAGAATGAGACAGAGCCCCCACCCATAGTCTCAACCCAGCCATTTCTGCCCCTCTTCGTACATTATCAATAAACTTCTTCACACTATGTCGTTGTTGGCGTGGTCCTAGCTAGTGAAACTGTGGTTTATGAATATTAATTGACCAAGTTAAACAGACAGCATTTTGATATGAAATATGCAGGTGAGTGCAGTCTCCTCTAGACTGTTGTCTAAAGATCGGAGATTAGGTACACCTTTAAGAGTTAACTGAAGTTATGTGGCGTGATATGCGCATATACGACCAGGAAAGTGGAGATGTTCATCAATGCATGGTCCAGAGGTCCAATGGTTTGGAAGTCTGAAGTCCTTAGGGTGTCAGATCTGAAGAATCAAATGAGCTGAAACAGAGGCCACATGATCTTACAATAACTCCAGGCTCAGGCAGCATCAGGCTGAAGGAACGCTGTACCCTCTATTTAAAGAGGAGCAGAAGACACCTTCCTAGTATCCATGAGGTCTGAACAGCATTGATCACAGATTAAGGCCAATTAAATCAAAAGGCTATTGACTACAAAAATGCAAATATTTAACATTTTTAAAGCTTTGCTTTCAGTTAGATTAACTACAGCAATTTGGATAAAAAAACACATCCAAAGTCGGACACACATTTTTGAAGGGAAGCAAGGGATGGTCATGCATCCACAGTCATAAAATAAATTATCTAGCCCATAGTACTTGGTTTGGTGGAAATTTCCTTCTTAAAGGTGATGGCAACAGTTAAGTGGGTGCTTCTCACAGTTTCATGGTTCAACCTGTAATACCACAGGACAATATATTCAATGCAATGCACTTATCACTTAAACTGTATACAACTTTAAACATATTAAATCTACATTATTCATCAAATTATACCTATCTTTTGTTTCTTTACTGAATCATCTTAAATTCTATTGAAGACCGAAGGTTATATACCTTATTGTGTACTTTAATTATAACTATAGGCTAAGGTTATTGTTAAAAGCCTGAAGCCTAAGTTAAAAGCTTTACATGGTCTACATTAAAAACAAAGTCAGCAGAAAATATCAGAAGTTGAATCTTTATTTTGATCAATTTTAACAAAATCCAATCAATTTGTTTCAAGAAAAATGCAATAAAGTTCCCAATAAACTAATAAACATTGTAGAAAACACAGTGAAGACAATTATGCATATTTCCAAAACAAAGCACCTAGTGGGTTATATTAAAGAAGTACTGACAAAATGTCTGTGTAGAGTTAAAGATTTCATTGGAAAAAATGCACTCCATATGTATGTACTACATAATATATCAATTACCAATTATCACAATACCCAGTATTAACACTCAGTAAAAAAACAAACATTCTTTTTTGTAGCACAAAATTACAAATGCCTTAACACCTATTTATGTTGTATTTTTATTTATTTATTTATTTTGTTTTGTATTATTTTGTAGATGAAAACACAGTGAAGGTTGTGTGACTGTAGCGGCTAGTCATTGAACTTGATCCTAGGTCCACACTGCTTCTGCGGGAGCCCAGCCTGGACCCACTCCTTGAACCTGAATGTGATCCTGGGGCAGAAGAAGCGTTGTATGGACTGCTGATCCCTCTGGAGGACACTGATGAGGCCTGAAGCATTTTTACACCTGTGTCTTCCTCCAGCATGCAATTGTCAAGCGCATCCTTGTAACTGATTTTGAGTTTGCTCTTAGGACATGTTAGATTCTTAGTGTGCTGGCTGAAATTTTGGAGCTTCTGAGCTGTTCTTACATCCACCCAGCCCAAGCTCAATATATCATGAATGGTTCTTCTGCAGCCCATTTGTGGGTCATAGAGTCCCCCTGTCACATACTGGTATTCCAAGAATCTCTGTCCTGCTTCATATGGAAGCCACCTTTCCTTAATGGCTTCAGCAGCAGACATTTTTCTTTTGGTTTTAACATCTTCAAAGCCAATGTATGCCTTTTGTGCTGGCTTGAGTTTATTGTGCATGTCATACGTTATTAAGCCTATGCGACATGCCTCTTGAATGCTTACTCTGTGGCCATTTGCTGGATCAATTATTCCTCCAGTACAAGCTTGTGCCTCTAAAAGTCTTTGACCAGTGATGGAATCTACAAGGCCACGGTTGACAGCTTCAGTTATAGTTATTTTCTCTAGGGTATCTGTGTCAAAGATGGCACCTACTGGATTTGTTTCTGTTATAACTATTTCAACAGGGGTGGTCAAAGTAAAAGAAACACTTGAACTATGCTTGGAATCAGGAGACTCATCACCCACAGTACTTAGTGATGAGTGTTCCTCTGTAACTGTTCTTCTTGTTGTTCTTGTGATTGATGATGATGATGATGATGATGATGATGAAGCATCTGAGGATAATGTTGATAGCATTGTGGATGCACTTGGTTCCACACCAGTTTTTGATGTAATTGTAGTAGTTGTCACATAAACTCCAGGGGATCTTGAAAAATCAAATGCACCATATTTACATTTCTCACTGATAATGCCAGGTGACACTGAGGCCACTGTAGCTGATGATGATGATTCAAGAGGAGATGTACTTGACTGCTCTTGAGTTTTGGTTGTGAATGTAGAATAACGCTTTGTAGAACTAACTGAATCATAACTAGATGAAGGAGACATTGATCCCAGCGAAGGTGGATTAGACTCTGCACTCACTGATGTGACTGTGGGTGTTTTCATAGAAGAGATATTCGAAACAGTGAATTCTATAGTAGAGCCCAATGAACCATGCTTAGCTGTATCACCAGTGATATCTTTTAATTGAACAGCTGAGGAGGTAGTTGCAGCTGATGGTGAAGGTTGTGTCTCTGAAGATGTATTTGAGCCTGCAATAGTTTTGGATGTGATTGTTGAAGATTTCAAAGAGACTAAAGACCCTCTGGCAGAAACATCATCGCCGTGTTGAGTTTTATCAGTGTCAATATCTGTTATTTGAGCAGTTGCAGCTGATGATGCATGTGGAGATGTACTTGCCTGCTCTTGAGTTTTGGTTGTGAATGTAGAATAGAGCTTTGTAGAACTAACTGAACCATGACTAGATGAAGTAGACATTGACCCCAGCGAAGACAGATTAGACTCTGCACTCATTGATGTGACAGTGGGTGCTTTTGTATAAGATATATTTGTAACAGTGACTTGTCTAGTAGAGTCCAATGAACCACGTTTCATTGTATCATTAGAGATGTCTTGTTGAGCAGTTGAGGAGGTAGTTGCATTTGATGTTGACAGTGGTGGTCTTTTTGAGTCTCCCATAGTTTTGGATGTGATTGCTGAAGATTTCACAGAGATTACAGGCTCTCTTTCAGAACCATCATCGCTGTGTTGAGTGGTGATATCTGTTATTTGAGCAGTTGCGTCCGATAGTGAGGTTGGTACAGATGTCCATGACTCAATACTACTTTCAGATGTGAATGTAGAAGACCTTACAGCATATATTTTGGGAACAGTTGACTGATTTGTGGAAGAAAATGATACTTGTTTAGTTTCACCGATTGCATCTGTTGATTCAGCAGGGAAACTAGTTGAAACTGATGATAAGGTTGATGCCAGTAAAGATGTGTTAGATTCAGGACTCATTTTAGAAGAAATTGTAGGTGTTTTCACAAAGGATGTACTTGAAAGTGTAGACGGTCTCGAAGAATCAATTGTATCATCTTTTGTTTTGTCACAGCTGGTGTCTGTTACTTGAGTAGCTGAAAATGTTGCTGCAGCTGACGGTAAAAAGTCTGAAGATGACGATGATGTCGTCCATGAAGATGCACTTGACTTAGCACTTGTTGTAGATGTAAATGTAGATGATTTTACAGAAGATATGTTTGAGGTTGTGGATTCCTTTACAGAATCAAATGAACCATGTTTAGTTTGTGTAAACTGAGTAGTTGAGGGTGATGTTGCTATTGAAGTTAAGGCTGTGGTACTTGGTTCAGCACTTGTTTTGTATGTGAATGCAGAAGATCCCACAGAAGATATGTTTGAAACTACAGGTCGTCTTGGAGAATAGGAACTATGTTTAGTTTTTTCAATTATAATATCAGCAAAGTCTGTTAGCGTAATCATGTTGGATCTGTACCTTTGCAGAATTACCTGGTTGATCACACCTTGTTCAAGAAGGTCACCAATGTCAAATTGTCTCCCTGTTTTTCTGTCAACAATCATAAATTGAGTAGAACCATCTGGTGCAGTTGATGTTATCTCTTCCCACTCGCACTCTTGCTGGGCAAGTTCCAAATAGGTTTCCTCATCAATGTATCCTTTGTCATAAGCTTCACGCACGGTCATTTCTTTATTAGTCTCTGGGTCCACAATAACAACTTTCCTTTTCCTCAAGGTGTTCTTTTGGGTCTTTTCATATTTTTTCTTATCAACAATTGGTAAAAGAAGAAGCCCAGTTGTTTTGTCTTTAATACAGCGTTTCTGAAGTTCCAGATAAGTCAGATTTTCCTGTGTGTTTGGATCAAAGAAACCTTTTGTGTCGTCACTGTCATCAGTCAGAATCTTGTTCATTTCTTCATTGAAATAACCCTTTTGATAGGCTATATTAACATCTATACGATGGCTATGCTCAGGATCAATGATGCCACCACTTGCAATCTGAGCTTCCAGTAAACGAATCCCATGGCCTCTTTCTATAAGACCTTTATCCATTGCCTGAAATAGGGAGATGGTTCTGTCAGTGCCAGGCATTCTGTATCCAGTTACAGCTCTTTCTGCAGACAACAACTTTGCCTTAAACTCTGGCCCAAAGATTCTTTTACTGTAGGCATCACTGACAGACAAATACTCATTGTTGACTGGATCAATTATAAAACCTGATGCTGCCTGGGCTTCAAGTAATTCCAGAGTCGTTCCAGGTCGCAATAAACCAATTTTCATTCCTTGATAAATGGTCATAACTTGATCACAAGCTTCATGATAGATACCTGCGATGCACGTTGACCCTCTCAAATATCGACGTAAACGGTCTTCAATATCCTGCTTGGTTATTTTACCTTCTTCAAAAAGCTTCACATCAGACTGTTCCAACAAATGTGCATTAACTAGTTCAACTAGTGACACTTGGCGCCGGAATCCCTGGAAAGTCACACGATTTTGGGGTTTAGGTAGTAGTAAAAGACCTGTATTTGGATCAGCCTTACACTTTTTCTTTATGGAAATATAATTAGTTGCTTCTTGAGTGTCTGGGTCCAAATAGACTTGGGGACCTGTATTTAGTGTATGGTATATATCCTCATCTATTAGATTTCGAGTCAAAGCAATGTTCTTAGGGAAGAAGATGCTCAGAACTGGATCCAATATTCCTCCAGCAGCTTCTTGGGCTTGAAGAACTCGCAAAGCTGTATCCCTGTCTATTAATCCTCTTTTAAAGGCTTGTCCAGCTGACAAAATATCATTAGTAGTAGGATCTTTGTAACCGACTGCTGCTGCTTCAGCTGCACATAATCTTGATTCATCATTTTTATCCACAACACCTTTGGCACAAGCTTCCTTAACGGTCATTTTTTCATTTGTTTTTGGATCAATGATGAGTCCTGTTGCTGCTTGGGCCTCCAACAGAAGGTCCGTACAATCAGGAGACATTATTTTCAGTTTTTTTGCCTCTGTAAAAGACATTTTTTGCTGTGGGCCAACGGCTACACCTGCAATTGACCCTGTTCCTTTGAGGAAAACCATTTTATCAACAAAGACTTCACTGACAGATTTTGAACCCCTAATTAGCTGATTAAATGTGTATTTATCAATAATCCCAAATTCCAGTAATTGTTGTGCTGAAATTGATTTTCGGACACCATCAAAGATCAGGTTGGAAGGATCAATACTTTTTGAGACTGGTAAGAATTTTAGTTCAGTATCTGTATCTGTTGTGCATTTGTCTTTTAAAGCCTTATAGCTGACGTTTTTCCTAGTTTCTGGGTCAATGTAACATTTAGGATTTACATTTAATGCATTCCATATGTCTTCATCCAAAAGATTACGCTTAATTGCTGTGTCTTTGGTTAAAAACACACCCAGATTTGGATCTAGAATGCCACCAACAGACATCTGAGCTTGCAGTAAACGTATTGCAGTGTCCTTTTTAATTAAGCCCTTCTTCATAGCCTGATACAATGAGAGACGGGTTTCAGAAACAGGGTCCTTGAAACCAACTGCAGCAGCTTCAGCTTCCAGTAATCTATCTCTAGTCTCAACATCCATTAGTCCTTGCGCAAATGCCTGGTTAACTGTAAGTTTGCTGTTGTTTTTTAGATCAATAATTAAACCTGTGGCAGCTTGGGCTTCCAATAGTAAATCTGCACTATCCGAGGGAAGAAGAGAATATTTTTTGGCTTCAAAAATTGACATTTTCACTTGTTGCGGTGTCTGAACTCCAGCAATCAGTCCAGTCCCTTTTAGACAGATTCTTAGCTTTTCAGAAATTTGTGCAATGCTTTCTTCACCTTTCATTAACTTGAATAATGTTGTTTCATCTATAATATTACATTCAACTAATTGTTGTGCTGAGATTTTCTTGTGAATACATTCAAACATAATTTTAGAAGGATCTTCTCTTTCCTTTATTGGCAAAAGTAGGAGGCCTGAAGAAGGATCTACTTTGCTCCTTTTCTTCAACATACTGTAGCTCACTTTTTCTTCTTTGTCTGGGTCAATGTATAAGTTAGGGCTTTGTGTTAACTCACGATAAATATTATCATCTAATATCCGTTTGTTAATAGCAATATCTTTTGGGAGGAAAATGCCAACCCTTGGGTCTATATAGCCTCCCACTGCCTCCTGGGCTTGTAACAAACGGAGGGTGGTTTTCTTGTCAACAATGCCCTTCTTCAATGCCTCAAGCACTGACAGAGGTACAGATGAATTTAAATCCTGATAACCAACAGCCGCAGCTTCTGCTATCAAGAGTCGGTCACAAGCCTTAAGGTCAAACATTCCTTTGTCGTATGCCTCTTTAACAGTTAGCTTCTGATTTTCTTTGGGATCAATAACATAACCTGTGGCAGCCTGTGCCTCTAGAAGTAAATCAGCACACTCTGGTGACAAAAGTCTTTGTTTCTTGGCTTCAGTTAGAGATTTTATTTTATTTTGAACAAGGACTCCTGCAATTGGTTGATTTCCCTTCAGTTGGCTTTTTTTGTCAGCTGAGACCTCTAGAAGAGATTTTCTACCTGTTTCCAGATAATTCAGTGTCATCTTGTCTATAATGCTGTATTCATGTAATTGCTGTGCTGTGACAGACTTACGAATGCCATCAAAAATGAGTTTGGAAGTATCCTTTCTCTCAGTCACTGGCAAAAGTAGCAAACCTGTTTGGGGGTCTGTTTTACATCTTTTCTTTAAATCATTGTAACTGATCATCTCTTCAGTTTCTGGGTCAATGTAATATTTAGGCATCCTGTTTAGTGAATGGAGAATGTTTTCATCTGCAAGGTTGCGCTTTATAGCCATGTTTTTGGGCAGATACACACTGATACTGGGATCCATAATGCCTCCAACAGACTCTTGTGCTTGTAGCAGACGAAGACCTGTCTCATTGTCAACGATCCCCTTTTTCATGGCCTCAAATACAGAGAGAGGTTTGGCTGAATATGGATCTTTATAGCCCACGGCAGCTTTCTCTGCGGCCAATAATCTGTCTCGATCAACACTGTCAACCGTTCTGTTGGAACATGCTTCATCGACAGTCAACTTCCTATTGTTTTTTGGATCAATGATATGCCCTGTTGCAGCCTGTGCTTCCAACAGTAAATCAGCACACTCTGGTGGTAAAAGCTTTTTTCTTTTGGCTTCAGTAAAAGACATTTTTTCATTTTCCCTCGCAATAATTCCAGCAATAGCCCCAGTTCCATTTAGGTTAGCTTTTATGTCAGCTGACAGATCTTTGACAGATTTTTTTGCTGTCTGCAAGTTCTTTTAACTGTTGTCTGGCTCATCTATGACTTTCACATTCTTGTAAGTCTGCTTGGCTGTGACAGGCTTACGGACACCATCAAAAATCAGTTGAGATTCATCCAGTTTCTTTGTCACTGGCAAAAGGAGCAGTCCTGTTTTAGGATCTGTCTTACACTTTTTCTTTAAATCATTATAACTTACAGCTTCCTCTGTCTCTGGGTCAATGTAACACTTAGGATTCTTTGTCAAAGAACGGTTAGTGTTTTCATCCAGTATTTTATGTTCAATAGCTGTGTCTTTTGGGAGGAACACACTCAGATTTGGATCTAGAATACCTCCAACAGAGTCTTGTGCTTGCAGTAGACGAAGTCCTGTCTTATCATCAACTAGTCTCTTGTTCATGGCCTCAAATACAGACAGAGGCTTGGCTGAATATGGATCTTTGTAGCCCACAGCAGCTTTCTCTGCAGCCAGTAGTCGGTCTCGATCACCGATGTCCAACAATTTTTTGTTACAAGCCTCTTCTACTGTCAGTTTCTTATTTTGTTTTGGATCAATTATGTGTCCTGTTGCAGCCTGTGCCTCCAGCAGCAAATCTGCACACTCAGGTGATAAAAATGCATTCTTCTTGCCTTCTACAAAAGAAACCTTTTCTTCATTTTCAGCAATTAATCCAGCAATTGGGCCAGTTCCTTTAAGATGAACTTTTTTGTCTTCACACACCTCTGGGACAGACTTTTCCCCTGTTTGAAGATCTTTCAATGTAGGCTTGTCTACGATTTTGCAATCATATAACTGTTTTGCTGTGACTGGTTTGCGAATACCATCAAAAATCAGTTCAGATGGATCCAGTTTCTCAGTTACTGGTAAAAGTAGCAGGCCTGTTTTAGGCTCTGTCTTACATCTTTTCTTTAAGTCATTATAACTTACAGCTTCTTCCGTCTCTGGGTCAGTGTAACACTTGGGATTCTTGTCTAGAGAACGTTTAGTGTTTTCATCCAGTATTTTACGTTCAATAGCTGTGTCTTTTGGAAGGAAAACACTTAGCATTGGATCTAAAATACCTCCAACAGAGTCTTGTGCTTGTAACTGACGGAGTCCTGTCTTATCATCAACAAGACCCTTCTTCATGGCCTCAAATACAGACAGAGGTTTGGCTGAATATGGATCTTTATAGCCCACGGCAGCTTTCTCTGCAGCCAGTAATCTATCTCTATCACCACTGTCAACTATATTACTGTTACATGCTTCATCCACAGTTAACTTCTTATTGTTTTTAGGGTCAATGATATGGCCTGTTGCAGCCTGTGCTTCAAGCAGCAAATCAGCGCAATCAGGAGGCAAAAGCATTTTCTCTTTTGCTATGTTTAATGGGACTACTCTGTTTTTGTCAGTTATAACTGCAGCAATTGACCCAGTTCCCTTGAGGTACACTTTTTTGTCTTCAGACACCTCTTTGACAGACTTTTTGGACTTCTCAAGTTCTTTTAATGTGGGCTCATCTATGACTTTACATTCTTGTAGTTGCTTGGCTGTGACTGGTTTACGGACACCATCAAAAATCAGTTGAGATTCATCTAGTTTCTTTGTCACTGGCAAAAGGAGCAGGCCTGTTTTAGGATCTGTCTTACACTTTTTCTTTAAATCATTATAACTTACAGCTTCCTCTGTCTCTGGGTCAATGTAACACTTAGGATTCTTTGTCAAAGAACGGTTAGTGTTTTCATCCAGTATTTTATGTTCAATAGCTGTGTCTTTTGGGAGGAACACACTCAGATTTGGATCTAGAATACCTCCAACAGAGTCTTGTGCTTGCAGTAGACGAAGTCCTGTCTTATCATCAACTAGTCTCTTGTTCATGGCCTCAAATACAGACAGAGGCTTGGCTGAATATGGATCTTTGTAGCCCACAGCAGCTTTCTCTGCGGCCAGTAGACGATCTCGATCACTGATGTCCAACACTTTTTTGTTACAAGCCTCTTCTACTGTCAGTTTCTTATTGTGTTTTGGATCAATTATGTGTCCTGTTGCAGCCTGTGCCTCCAGCAACAAATCTGCACAATCAGGTGATAAAAATGCATTCTTCTTGCCTTCTACAAAAGAAACCTTTTCTTCATTTTCAGCAATTAATCCAGCAATTGGGCCAGTTCCTTTAAGATGAACTTTTTTGTCCACACACCTCTGGGACAGACTTTTCCCCTGTTTGAAGATCTTTCAATGTAGGCTTGTCTACGATTTTGCAATCATATAACTGTTTTGCTGTGACTGGTTTGCGAATACCATCAAAAATCAGTTCAGATGGATCCAGTTTCTCAGTTACTGGTAAAAGTAGCAGGCCTGTTTTAGGCTCTGTCTTACATCTTTTCTTTAAGTCATTATAACTTACAGCTTCTTCCGTCTCTGGGTCAGTGTAACACTTGGGATTCTTGTCTAGAGAACGTTTAGTGTTTTCATCCAGTATTTTACGTTCAATAGCTGTGTCTTTTGGAAGGAAAACACTTAGCATTGGATCTAAAATACCTCCAACAGAGTCTTGTGCTTGTAACTGACGGAGTCCTGTCTTATCATCAACAAGACCCTTCTTCATGGCCTCAAATACAGACAGAGGTTTGGCTGAATATGGATCTTTATAGCCCACGGCAGCTTTCTCTGCAGCCAGTAATCTATCTCTATCACCACTGTCAACTATATTACTGTTACATGCTTCATCCACAGTTAACTTCTTATTGTTTTTAGGGTCAATGATATGGCCTGTTGCAGCCTGTGCTTCAAGCAGCAAATCAGCGCAATCAGGAGGCAAAAGCATTTTCTCTTTTGCTATGTTTAATGGGACTACTCTGTTTTTGTCAGTTATAACTGCAGCAATTGACCCAGTTCCCTTGAGGTACACTTTTTTGTCTTCAGACACCTCTTTGACAGACTTTTTGGACTTCTCAAGTTCTTTTAATGTGGGCTCATCTATGACTTTACATTCTTGTAGTTGCTTGGCTGTGACTGGTTTACGGACACCATCAAAAATCATTTGAGATTCATCTAGTTTCTTTGTCACTGGCAAAAGGAGCAGGCCTGTTTTAGGATCTGTCTTACACTTTTTCTTTAAATCATTATAACTTACAGCTTCCTCTGTCTCTGGGTCAATGTAACACTTAGGATTCTTTGTCAAAGAACGGTTAGTGTTTTCATCCAGTATTTTACATTCAATAGCTGTGTCTTTTGGGAGGAAAACACTCAGATTTGGATCTAAAATACCCCCAGCAGACTCCTGTGCTTGCAGAAGACGAAGTCCTTTTTCATTGTCAACAAGCCCCTTCTTCATGGCCTCAAATACTGACAGAGGCTTGGCTGAATATGGATCTTTGTAGCCCACAGCAGCTTTCTCTGCGGCCAATAGACGGTCTCGATCACTGATGTCCAACACTTTTTTGTTACAAGCCTCTTCTACTGTCAGTTTCTTATTGTGTTTTGGATCAATTATGTGTCCTGTTGCAGCCTGTGCCTCCAGCAACAAATCTGCACAATCAGGTGATAAAAATGCATTCTTCTTGCCTTCTACAAAAGAAACCTTTTCTTCATTTTCAGCAATTAATCCAGCAATTGGGCCAGTTCCTTTAAGATTAACTTTTTTCTTTTCAGACACCTCTGGGACAGACTTTTTCCCTGTTTGAAGATCTTTCAGTGTAGGTTTGTCTACGACTTTGCAATCAAGTAACTGTTTTGCTGTGACTGGTTTGCGAATACCATCAAAAATCAGTTCAGATGGATCCAGTTTCTCAGTTACTGGTAAAAGTAGCAGGCCTGTTTTAGGCTCTGTCTTACATCTTTTCTTTAAGTCATTATAACTTACAGCTTCTTCCGTCTCTGGGTCAGTGTAACACTTGGGATTCTTGTCTAGAGAACGTTTAGTGTTTTCATCCAATATTTTACGTTCAATAGCTGTGTCTTTTGGAAGGAACACACTTAGCATTGGATCTAAAATACCCCCAACAGAATCTTGTGCTTGTAGCAGACGAATTCCTGTCTCATCATCAACAAGACCCTTCTTCATGGCCTCAAATACAGACAGAGGTTTGGCAGAATATGGATCTTTGTAGCCCACAGCAGCTTTCTCTGCAGCCAGTAATCTATCTCGATCACCACTGTCAACTGTTTTATTGGTACATGCTTCATCCACAGTTAACTTCTTATTGTTTTTAGGGTCAATTATATGGCCTGTTGCAGCCTGTGCTTCAAGCAGCAAATCAGCACAATCAGGAGGCAAAAGCATTTTCTCTTTTGCTTCGTTTAATGAAACTACTCTGTTTTTGTCAGTTATAACTGCAGCAATTGACCCAGTTCCCTTGAGGTTCACTTTTTTGTCTTCAGACACCTCTTTGACAGACTTTTTGGTCTTCTCAAGTTCTTTTAATGTGGGCTCATCTATGACTTTACATTCTTGTAGTTGCTTGGCTGTGACTGGTTTACGGACACCATCAAAAATCATTTGAGATTCATCTAGTTTCTTTGTCACTGGCAAAAGGAGCAGGCCTGTTTTAGGATCTGTCTTACACTTTTTCTTTAAATCATTATAACTTACAGCTTCCTCTGTCTCTGGGTCAATGTAACACTTAGGATTCTTTGTCAAAGAACGGTTAGTGTTTTCATCCAGTATTTTACATTCAATAGCTGTGTCTTTTGGGAGGAAAACACTCAGATTTGGATCTAAAATACCCCCAACAGACTCCTGTGCTTGCAGAAGACGAAGTCCTTTTTCATTGTCAACAAGCCCCTTCTTCATGGCCTCAAATACTGACAGAGGCTTGGCTGAATATGGATCTTTGTAGCCCACAGCAGCTTTCTCTGCGGCCAGTAGACGATCTCGATCACTGATGTCCAACACTTTTTTGTTACAAGCCTCTTCTACTGTCAGTTTCTTATTGTGTTTTGGATCAATTATGTGTCCTGTTGCAGCCTGTGCCTCCAGCAACAAATCTGCACAATCAGGTGATAAAAATGCATTCTTCTTGCCTTCTACAAAAGAAACCTTTTCTTCATTTTCAGCAATTAATCCAGCAATTGGGCCAGTTCCTTTAAGATTAACTTTTTTCTTTTCAGACACCTCTGGGACAGACTTTTTCCCTGTTTGAAGATCTTTCAGTGTAGGTTTGTCTACGACTTTGCAATCATGTAACTGTTTTGCTGTGACTGGTTTGCGAATACCATCAAAAATCAGTTCAGATGGATCCAGTTTCTCAGTTACTGGTAAAAGTAGCAGGCCTGTTTTAGGCTCTGTCTTACATCTTTTCTTTAAGTCATTATAACTTACAGCTTCTTCCGTGTCTGGGTCAATGTAACACTTGGGATTCTTGTTCAGGGAGCGTTTAGTGTTTTCATCCAGTATTTTACGTTCAATAGCTGTATCTTTTGGAAGGAACACACTTAGCTTTGGATCTAAAATACCTCCAACAGAATCTTGTGCCTGTAGCAGACGAATTCCTGTCTCATCATCAACAAGACCCTTCTTCATGGCCTCAAATACAGACAGAGGTTTGGCAGAATATGGATCTTTGTAGCCCACGGCAGCTTTCTCTGCAGCCAATAATCTATCTCGATCACCACTGTCAACTGTTTTATTAGTACATGCTTCATCCACAGTCAGCTTCTTATTGTTTTTAGGGTCAATTATATGACCTGTTGCAGCCTGCGCTTCAAGCAGCAAATCAGCACAATCAGGAGGCAAAAGCATTTTCTCTTTTGCTTCATTTAATGGGACTATTCTGTTTTTGTCAGTTATAACTGCAGCAATTGACCCAGTTCCCTTGAGGTTCACTTTTTTGTCTTCAGACACCTCTTTGACAGACTTTTTGGTCTTCTCAAGTTCTTTAAATGTGGGTTCATCAATTACTTCACATTCTTGTAGTTGCTTGGCTGTGACTGGTTTACGAACACCATCAAAAATCAGTTGAGATTCATCTAGTTTCTTTGTTATTGGCAATAGGAGCAGTCCTGTTTTAGGATCTGTCTTGCATCTTTTCTTTAAATCATTATAACTTACAGCTTCCTCTGTCTCTGGGTCAATGTAACACTTAGGATTCTTTGTCAAAGAACGGTTAGTGTTTTCATCCAGTATTTTACGTTCAATAGCTGTGTCTTTTGGGAGGAAAACACTCAGATTTGGATCTAAAATACCCCCAACAGACTCCTGTGCTTGCAGAAGACGAAGTCCTTTTTCATTGTCAACAAGCCCCTTCTTCATGGCCTCAAATACTGACAGAGGCTTGGCTGAATATGGATCTTTGTAGCCCACAGCAGCTTTCTCTGCGGCCAGTAGACGGTCTCGATCACTGATGTCCAGCACTTTTTTGTTACAAGCCTCTTCTACTGTCAGTTTCTTATTGTGTTTTGGATCAATTATGTGTCCTGTTGCAGCCTGGGCCTCCAGCAGCAAATCTGCACACTCAGGTGATAAAAGCGCATTTTTCTTGCCTTCTACAAAAGAAACCTTTTCTTCATTTTCAGCAGTTAATCCAGCAATTGGGCCAGTTCCTTTAAGATTAACTTTTTTCTTTTCAGACACCTCTGGGACAGACTTTTTCCCTGTTTGAAGATCTTTCAGTGTAGGTTTGTCTACGACTTTGCAATCATGTAACTGTTTTGCTGTGACTGGTTTGCGAATACCATCAAAAATCAGTTCAGATGGATCCAGTTTCTCAGTTACTGGTAAAAGTAGCAGGCCTGTTTTAGGCTCTGTCTTACATCTTTTCTTTAAGTCATTATAACTTACAGCTTCTTCCGTGTCTGGGTCAATGTAACACTTGGGATTCTTGTTCAGGGAGCGTTTAGTGTTTTCATCCAGTATTTTACGTTCAATAGCTGTATCTTTTGGAAGGAACACACTTAGCTTTGGATCTAAAATACCTCCAACAGAATCTTGTGCCTGTAGCAGACGAATTCCTGTCTCATCATCAACAAGACCCTTCTTCATGGCCTCAAATACAGACAGAGGTTTGGCTGAATATGGATCTTTGTAGCCCACGGCAGCTTTCTCTGCAGCCAATAATCTATCTCGATCACCACTGTCAACTGTTTTATTAGTACATGCTTCATCCACAGTCAGCTTCTTATTGTTTTTAGGGTCAATTATATGACCTGTTGCAGCCTGCGCTTCAAGCAGCAAATCAGCACAATCAGGAGGCAAAAGCATTTTCTCTTTTGCTTCATTTAATGGGACTATTCTGTTTTTGTCAGTTATAACTGCAGCAATTGACCCAGTTCCCTTGAGGTTCACTTTTTTGTCTTCAGACACCTCTTTGACAGACTTTTTGGTCTTCTCAAGTTCTTTAAATGTGGGTTCATCAATTACTTCACATTCTTGTAGTTGCTTGGCTGTGACTGGTTTACGAACACCATCAAAAATCAGTTGAGATTCATCTAGTTTCTTTGTTATTGGCAATAGGAGCAGTCCTGTTTTAGGATCTGTCTTGCATCTTTTCTTTAAATCATTATAACTTAATGCTTCCTCTGTCTCTGGGTCAATGTAACACCTGGGATTTTGTGTCAGTGAACTGTCAGTGTTTTCATCCAGTATTTTCCGTTCAATAGCTGTGTCTTTTGGGAGGAACACACTCAGATTTGGGTCCAAAATACCTCCAACTGAGTCTTGTGCTTGTAATAGACGAAGTCCTGTCTCATCGTCAACAAGACCCTTCTTCATGGCCTCAAATACAGACAGAGGCTTGACTGAATATGGATCTTTGTAGCCCACAGCAGCTTTCTCTGCGGCTAGTAGACGTTCTCGATCACTGATGTTCACCACTTTTTTGTTACAAGCCTCTTCTACTGTCAGTTTCTTATTGTGTTTTGGATCAATTATGTGTCCTGTTGCAGCCTGTGCCTCCAGCAACAAATCTGCACACTCAGGTGATAAAAGCGCATTTTTCTTGCCTTCTACAAAAGAAACCTTTTCTTCATTTTCAGCAGTTAATCCAGCAATTGGGCCAGTTCCTTTAAGATTAACTTTTTTCTTTTCAGACACCTCTGGGACAGACTTTTTCCCTGTTTGAAGATCTTTCAATGTAGGCTTGTCTATGACTTTGCAATCATGTAACTGTTTTGCTGTGACTGGCTTGCGAACTCCATCAAAAGTCAGTTTAGATGGATCCAGTTTGTCAGTCACTGGTAAAAGTAGCAGCCCTGTGTGAGGCTCTGTCTTACATCTTTTCTTTAAGTCATTATAACTTACAGCTTCGTCCGTCTCTGGGTCAATGTAACACTTGGGATTCTTGTCTAGAGAACGTTTAGTGTTTTCATCCAATATTTTACGTTTAATCGCTGTGTCTTTAGGGAGGAACACACTCAGATTTGGATCTAAAATACCTCCAACAGAGTCTTGTGCTTGCAGCAGACGAAGTCCTGTCTCATCATCAACAAGTCCCTTCTTCATGGCCTCAAATACAGACAGAGGTTTGGATGAATATGGATCTTTGTAGCCCACTGCAGCTTCCTCAGCTTCCAATAATCTTTCTTGATCACTGTTGTCCACCACTTCTTTGGTACAGGCTTCTTCTACGGTCAGCTTCTTATTCTTTTTAAGGTCAATGATATGACCTGTTGCAGCCTGCGCTTCCAAGAGCAAATCAGCACATTCTAGGGGCAAGAGCATTTGCTTCTTAGCTTCCCCTAGTGACATTTTTTTGTTTTTACCTGTCACAATCCCAGCAATAGGCCCTGTCCCCTTTAGGTGAACTCTTTTGTCAGCAGATACCTCTGGGATGGACCTTTTCTCTGTCTGCAAATCTTTAAGTGTTTCTTTGTCCAGGACTTCACATTCAAGCAACTGTTTTGCTGTGACTGGTTTACGAACACCATCAAATATCAGTTTAGATGGATCCAACTTCTTTGCAACTGGCAAAAGTAGCAGGCCTGTATGAGGCTCTATTTTACACCTTTTCTTCAAATCATTATAAGTCACAGCTTCTTCTGTCTCTGGGTCAATGTAACACTTTGGACTTTGGTTCAAGGAATGTTTAGTGTTTTCATCCAGTATTTTACGTTCAATAGCTGTGTCTTTTGGGAGAAACACACTTAGATTTGGATCTAAAATACCTCCAACAGAGTCTTGTGCTTGTAGCAGACGAAGTCCTGTCTCATCATCAACAAGACCCTTCTTCATGGCCTCGAATACAGACAGAGGTTTAATTGAATATGGATCTTTGTAGCCCACAGCAGCTGCCTCAGCTTCCAATAATCTGTCTCGATCACCACTGTCAACTGTTTCATTGGTACATGCTTCTTCCACGGTCAGCTTCTTATTGTTTTTAGGATCAATGATATGGCCTGTGGCAGCCTGCGCTTCCAGGAGTAAATCGACACACTCTGGTGACAATAGCATTTCCTTCTTTGCTTCAGATAAAGACAGTTTCCCCCTTTTTTCCACAGCAATTCCCGCAATTGATCCAGTTCCCTTTAAATTTACTTTTTTGTCCACTGATACCTCTGCAATGGACTTTTTGTCTGTCCTCAGGTCCTTAAGTGTTGGCTTGTCTATGACATCACATTCGCGTAATTCTTTTGCTGTAACAGGCTTACGGACACCATCAAAAATCAGTTTAGATGGATCCAGTTTCTCAGTTACTGGTAAAAGTAGCAGCCCTGTTTGACGATCTGTCTTACATCTTTTCTTTAGGTTATCATAACTCACAGTTTCCTCTGTTTCTGGATCAATGTAGCACTTTGGACTCTTATTCAGAAAACACTTCGTGTTTTCATCCAGTATTTTACGTTCAATAGCTGTGTCTTTTGGGAGGAATACACTCAGATTTGGATCTAAAATTCCTCCAACAGACTCTTGTGCTTGAAGCAGACGAAGTCCTGTCTCATCATCAACAAGCCCTTTCTTCATGGCCTCAAATACAGACAGAGGCTTGGCTGAATATGGATCTTTGTACCCTACAGCAGCTGCTTCTGCAGCTAATAATTTGTCTTGATCAGTGCTGTTCACCACGTCATTCTTGCATGCCTCTTCTACAGTCAGTTTCTTGTTGTTTTTCGGGTCAATGATGTGGCCTGTTGCAGCTTGTGCTTCCAGCAGTAAATCTGCACTGTCTGGTGACATAAGGTTCTCTTCTTTGGCTTCCTTAAAAGTAAAAAGGCCTTTATTTCCAGCTATTATTCCAGCAATTGGCCCAGTGCCCTTTAAACAAACTCTTTTCTCTTGTGACACATCAGGAATAGACTTTTTCCCTGTTTGAAGATCTTTCAGTACAGGTTTATCAATGACTTTGCAATCATGTAACTGTTTTGCTGTTACTGGTTTACGGACACCATCAAAAATCAGTTTAGATTCATCCAGTTTCTCAGTTACTGGTAAAAGGAGCAGGCCTGTTTGAGGATCTGTCTTACATCTTTTCTTTAAGTCAGCATAACTTACATCTTCCTCCGTCTCTGGGTCAATGTAACACTTTGGACTCTTATTCAGGGAACGTTTAGTGTTTTCATCCAGTATTTTACATTCAATAGCTGTGTCTTTTGGAAGGAACACACTGACATTTGGATCTAAAATACCTCCAACAGAGTCTTGTGCTTGTAGCAGACGAAGTCCTGTCTCATCATCAACAAGACCCTTCTTCATGGCCTCAAATACAGACAGAGGTTTGGCTGAATATGGATCTTTGTAGCCCACAGCAGCTGCCTCAGCTTCCAATAATCTGTCCCGATCACCACTGTCAACTATATTACTGTTACATGCTTCAGCCACAGTCAACTTCTTATTGTTTATAGGGTCAATGATATGGCCTGTTGCAGCCTGCGCTTCCAGAAGCAAATCAGCACAATCGCGTTTCACTACCATTTGTTTCTTAGCCTCTGTTAAGGTCATTTTAATGTTTTTACCTACACTAATCCCAGCAATTGATCCAGTTCCCTTCAAGTTAATAAATTTTTCTTCAGAAACCTGTTGAACATTTTTCTTTGCTGTCTGTAGGTCTTTAAGTGTTGGCTTGTCTATGACATCACATTCATGCAATTGTTTTGCTGTGACTGGCTTACGGACACCCTCAAAAATCAGTTTAGATGCATCCAGTTTCTCAGTCACTGGTAAAAGGAGCAGACCTGTTTGAGGATCTGTCTTACATCTTTTCTTTAAGTCATTATAGCTGACAGCATCCTCTGTTTCTGGGTCAAGGTAACACTTTGGACTCTTGTTCAGAGAACGGTTAGTGTTTTCATCCAATATTTTCCGTTCAATAGCTGTGTCTTTTGGGAGGAACACACTTAGGTTTGGATCTAAAATACCTCCAACAGAGTCTTGTGCTTGTAGCAGACGAAGTCCTGTCTCATCATCAACAAGACCCTTCTTCATGGCCTCAAATACAGACAGAGGCTTGGCAGAATATGGATCTTTGTAGCCAACAGCAGCTTTCTCTGCTTCCACTAATCTGTCTCGATCACTACTGTCAATTGTTTCATTGGTATATGCTTCTTCCACAGTCAGCTTCTTATTGCTTTTAGGATCAATAATATGGCCTGTTGCAGCCTGCGCTTCCAGGAGCAAATCGACACACTCTGGTGACAATAACATTTCCTTCTTTGCTTCAGATAAAGACAGTTTCCCCCTTTTTTCCATAATGATTCCTGCAATTGGACCAGTTCCCTTTAAGTTAACTTTTTTCTCAAGTGATATCTCTGGGATGGATTTTTTTGCTTCTTGTAGATCTTTAAGTGTTGGCTTGTCTACAACATCACAATCGTGTAACTGCTGTGCTGTGACTGGTTTACGGACACCATCAAAAATTATTTTGGAAAAGTCAATTTTTTTAGTCACTGGGAAAAGCAGCAGACCTGTTTTAGGCTCTGTCTTACATCTTTTCTTTAAGTCATTATAACTTACAGCTTCCTCTGTCTCTGGGTCAATGTAACACTTGGGATTCTTTGTCAAAGAACGGTTAGTGTTATCATCCAGTATTTTACGTTCAATAGCTGTGTCTTTTGGCAGGAACACACTCAGATTGGGATCTAAAATACCGCCAACAGAGTCTTGTGCTTGCAGCAGACGAAGTCCTGTCTTATCATCAACAAGCCCCTTCTTCATGGCCTCAAATAGAGACAGAGGCTTGGCTGAATATGGATCTTTATAGCCCACAGCGGCTGCTTCTGCAGCCAATAAAATGCTTCGGTCACTCATGTCCACTACTTTTTTGTTACAAGCCTCTTCTACTGTCAGTTTCTTATTGTGTTTTGGGTCAATTATGTGTCCTGTTGCAGCCTGGGCCTCGAGCAATAAATCTGCACATTCAGGTGATAAAAACGCATTCTTCTTGCCCTCTGCAAAAGAAACCTTTTTTTCATTTTCTGCAATTAATCCAGCAATTGGTCCTGTTCCTTTAAGATTAACTTTTTTGTCTTCAGACACCTCTGGGACAGACTTTTTTCCTGTTTGAAGATCTTTCAACATAGGCTTGTCAATGACTTTGCAATCATGTAATTGTTTTGCTGTGACTGGCTTGCGAACACCTTCAAAAATCAGTTGAGATGGATCCACTTTCTCAGACACTGGCAAAAGTAGCAGGCCTGTATGAGGCTCTGTCTTACATCTTTTCTTCAAGCCATTATAACTTACTGCTTCTTCTGTTTCCGGGTCGATGTAACATTTTGGACTTTGGTTTAGGAGATTGTTTGTATTATCATCAAACAATTTGCGCTTTATAGCAGTGTCCACGGGGAGGAACACACTCAGATTTGGGTCTAAAATACCCCCAACAGACTCTTGTGCTTGTAGCAGACGAAGTCCTGTCTTATCGTCCACAAGCCCTTTCTTCATGGCCTCAAATACACATAGAGGATTAACTGAATATGGATATTTGTAGCCAACAGCAGCTGCCTCTGCAGCCAGTAATAGGTCTCGATCACTAATGTCCACCACTTCTTTACTACATGCCTCTTCCACAGTCAGTTTTTTATTGTTTTTAGGGTCAATGATGTGGCCTGTAGCAGCTTGAGCTTCAAGTAGTAGATCTGCACAATCTGAAGGCAAAATGCCTTTTTTCTTGGCCTCGTTTAGAGTGAATGTTTCTCGTTTTCCAGCTATTATGCCAGCAATTGGCCCTGTCCCCTTTAAGTTAATTTTCTTGTCAGCAGAAACTTCTGGGATGGACTTTTTTTCTGTCTGTAGATCTTTCAGCGTTGGCCTGTCTATCACCTCACAATCATGCAATTGCTGTGCTGTGACTGGCTTACGGACACCATCAAAAATTAGTTTAGATGGATCAAGTCTTTCAGTCACTGGCAAAAGTAGAAGGCCTGTATGAGGCTCTGTCTTACATCTTTTCTTTAAGTCATTATAACTTATGGCTTCCTCTGTTTCTGGGTCAGTGTAACATTTTGGACTCTCCTTCAGAGAACGACTCGTGTTTTCATCTATAATGTTACGTTTAATAGCTGTGTTTTCAGGGAGGAAGACGCTCAGATTTGGATCTAAAATACCTCCAACAGACTCTTGTGCTTGAAGCAGACGAAGTCCTGTCTCATCATCAACAAGCCCTTTCTTCATGGCCTCAAATACAGACAGAGGTTTGGCTGAATATGGATCCTTGTAGCCCACAGCAGCTGCCTCTGCAGCCAGCAGTTCCTCTCTGTCGCTTATGTCTATAACATCTTTGTCGCATGCCTCATCCACAGTCAGTTTCTGATTGTTTTTAGGATCAATAATATGACCTGTTGCAGCCTGAGCTTCCAGGAGTAAATCAGCACACTCTGGTGGTATAATCACTTGCTTCTTTGCTTCACCCAAAGACATTTTCCCTTTCTTTCCAATTAAAATCCCAGCAATCGGTCCTGTTCCTTTGAGTGGTATCCGTTTGTCTGCAGACACTTCTGGAACAGTTTTTGTTCCTTTTTCAAGAGCTTTAAAAGTGGGTTTGTCTAAGACACCACAATCAAGAAGCTGTTTTGAAGTCACTGGTTTACGGACACCATCAAAGATCAGTTTGGATGGGTCCATTTTCTCAGGGACAGGAAGAAGAAGGAGCCCAGTGTGTGGCTCCACTTTGCATTTCCTTTTCAGAGAGATGTAGGTTGTTCCTTCTTCACTTTCTGGATCCAAATAGAGTTCAGGTTTTTGATATAAAGCATGATAAATATCTTCATCAATAAGATCACGTTCAATGGCTGTATCTTTTGGAAGAAATACACTTAGAATTGGGTCTAAAATCCCCCCAACTGCTTCCTGGGCTTGTAATAGGCGGAGAGTTGTGTTCCTGTCAATTTGTCCTCTTTTCATAGCTTCAAATGCTGAAATTGGTTTGTTTGTGCCAGGACTACCATATCCAACTGCAGCCGCCTCAGCAGCTAGCAGTCTTTCTTCATCTTTTTTATCAACTACACCTTGGTCACAAGCTTCTTCAACTGTAAACTTTCGATTTGTTTTGGGGTCAATGATGTGTCCAGTAGCTGCTTGGGCATCAAGCAATAAATCCACACATTCTGCAGGCAGAATGCTCTTCTTTTTGGCTTCAGTGAATGACATCTTTTTGGTTGAACCTCTAACAGAACCAGGTCCTTTCTGACGCTCAGTAATTACACCAGCTATTGGGCCTGTTCCTTTGAGATTAATTCTTTTATCTTCAGAAACTTCAGGTATAGTACATTGTCCATCAACAAGATCGTCATATGTTGTTTTATCTAATACACCACAGTCAACTAAATCTTGTGCAGTTACTGGCTTACGAACACCTTCAAAAACCAACTTGGGTGTTGAAGTCTTTTGTTCAGGGGCCTTGGTTGGCTTATTCTTGGTTTGCACCGGTATTTGTTGTCGAACCTCTGTCTCTTCCTTCACTTTGAGAAGTCGAAGCTCTTCTTCTAGCTTGTGGATATGAGCTCTCTCCTTTTCAGCCATCTGTAGAAGAGCAAAAAGACAAAAAATAAATAAATATCTTATATGAAATGTACAATAGCAATGAAATCTAAAAAACCTACAAAGTAAAAAAAATAAATAAATTACACACTTGCAAAATATTTGGCATACCTTAGGTTAGTTATGTACCTGTAAGACAATACCCAAATTATTGGTTGCAACTTATATGTAAATATTGTGAATATATTTTAGCAAGTGTATTTAAAGAGCAATTTAGTGCCAATTGACGCAAATAACATTTTAGCATTTTAACAGGATGAAAATAAAATGATAAAAATTAAAACAACAAATTACTACACATGCATGGTAGTTACTAATAATCACCATGGTGTTTATTGGTGCTATTTCATTAAGTAAATTATTAAAAAGGTAAATAATAGTTTCCATTGTAGTGCCATATGTCATTGTATCCATTATTATTATTGGTCATTTCCATATACTTGTGTCCATCCTATTATCATGCTAAAATGTTGTAAGATACCACAACTACTACTACATATTTACTGCAACTGATGCAGTGCATGCAGAAATTGTTGTTCATATTACTAACATGCATAAATTTAACAAAACAAACACTACAACAGCACTACAGAACATATGATGAAATAATATTTCCAGACATTCAGTTCAATATAAAGAGACACCATAAAAGAGCAAGCCCACAATATACTGGGGATGAAGAAGGGATGGTGCTCCAACATAGGTGCAAGCATGCAAGGACTTCAAACACATACTTATATTTCTATGTGTTTATCAGGACGGGAAACCTACAGTTGTTTAAAGCATGCAGCTACTTCATTGTGGTGAAAAAACAAGAGCAGTCCAGGGCTAAGAGGCCTAAGAGTACCTCAAGGGCCTCCTTTTGTATTTTCTCAGTCTCCAACTTCAGTTTTTCCCTCTCAGATGTCAGTTCAGACACCAGGTTGCAGTAGTCTAGATTGCTGCCCTCACTGGCTTGCAGCTGAAGCTCTAGTGCAGCTATTTGAGAGGAAAGTTCATCATGATTTCCCTCCTTGGCCCTTTTTAACTCATTGTTTTCAGGTTGTGCGACTTGTAGCTCCTCTTCAATCTTCAACTTCTCTTTAGTCTGAATCTCTGTCAACTCCTTCAACCGCTGAATCTCTGTATCCTTTTCATTTAAAGTCACACTCTTCAACTCTATGGTTTTGTAAAGATTTTCATTTTTTATGTTTGCCTCTTTTACAGTTTTTTGTTCCTGTATCAGCTGTTGCTTTACAGTTTCCAGCTCAGCACTCAGTTTTGTCAGTCTGTCTGTAGTTGTCTGGTTTTGCTTTAAACTATCTTCTAATTTGGCTTGCAACTTATGAAATTCTCCATCACTCCTCTGTTCTGTGGTGCTTGTTAGTTGCTGTAGATCTGTAATCGTACAAGTATATTCCATCAAAGTCACAGACGTCTTCTCCATCTCTGCTTCAATCTGCTTCCTTTTGGCCAACTCCTCTTGACTACTTTTCCTCAGGTTTTCAACTTGGCTTTCAAGTGAATCACGTACACCCTGTAAATCCTTGATACGTCCTTGTAATCTATTCAAATTCTGCTCTAACCTCACTCTTTCTTTACCCTCCCTTTCTAACTCAAACCGTGCCTTCTCCAGCTCATCCTCACAGTCCCTGAGCCGAGTTGCTACCATGGTTGAATTGGTCAGCTGTTGTTGAAGCTGTGAAATAGTCTGCTCTAGCACCACTTCTCCTTCCTCAATAGTTTTCCTTCTACGTGATTCTTCTTCTAAACTGTGAGTGGTATAGGCCAGCTGGTTGCTCTGTTCTTGCAGTCTTTTCATGGCCTCTTCTAATTCCTCCCTATAGTGGCTACTCTCCTCCTGCCTCTGCCTCATTAATGTCTCTATCTGACTCTCTAGCTCGATTCTCTTTTTCCCTTCTTCTTCTATAATAGATTGCTGGTTGTGGAACTCCTCTTCAAGTCTTTTGCATTGCTCATCGGCTTGCTCCTTTGAAATTCGTATTCTTCTAAGTTCTTCCTCCAGATTCCTCTTTTCAGAATCCATGCGCTCACATTGTGCCTGCAGCTCTGCAATGTCCTCTTCTCTTTGTGTTGTTATCTTTTGCATTTCAGTTCGGCTCATGTGAATTTGAGATTCAAAGCTTAATTTCAAATTACTGATTTCAGCACCACATTGACTTCTTACCTTTGACATTTCTCTTTGTAGCTCCTTTATGCGCAGTGAATCCTCATCAAGCTGTCGTTTCAGTTTGTCAATCTCACGATCTTTGGCTGCTACAGTTTTCTCCACCTCAATTTTGGACCAACTTACAGTTTCAAACTCCTTTTCCCTCTTTTTCAAAGTAATGTCATATTCTTCTTCCTGCTGGGTGTAGCGCTCCTCTGCTAGTCTTCGCTTTCTCTTCTCTTCATCCAGTAGATACTTGATTCGTGTTAGCTGTTCATTCAGGTCAGCAAGCTGGGTCTGAGTACTGTCCAAGTTCTCCTTTGTGGCACTATACTGGAGAGCTGTGTTGCGCTTAACCTCTTCCATTGACAGTAGCTGATTTTTAGACTGGGACATCTCCAGCTGGTACTGGTTCATGGCATCTTCTAGCGACTTGTTCTTTGCTATGTGATCTTTTATTTCTTCACGCAGCAAACGCAGGTCTTCTTCCAACAGATCAATCCTTGTATTACGAATCTGAAGTAAGCAAATGAGAAATGGGTAGAATAATTTTTTTTAAAGAAAACCAACAACCTTAACAGTTTAAACAAGACCACAAAATTATGCAAAAAAATGTACCTTCAACTCTTCCATGTTTTTGAGCAGTTCTCCCAAATACTTGTAATAGTCAGTAGATAAGGTAAGTAGCTCCATATAGCGAGTCTGTATTTGGGTGGCCTGAGAAAAGGACACATCAGAACAAGTTTATTCTCCTTTAGTATGTACAGCTGTTAATCTTAATTTTTTTACTTAATTTAGTTGTTTGGATTACCTCAAGATTCAAGTCCATGGATGGTGACTTCAGCATTGTTCTCTTGATAGGGACATTAAGTATGGTCTCTAAACCTGAGCTGTAGGCTGTAAGGTCTGTCTCATAATCCTATGTAAAGAAAGTTAAAATGTGATAAAATGGTTAAGTTGAAGAAGCGTTCAAACCCAGTGTGAAGAGCCCCTTACTTTTATTGAGGTGACACAAGCGTCATTGTCCTTAAGAACACTGTCTACTTCTCCCCTCTTTGCTATGATTTCCGAGTTTAGAGACTAAAATTGACAAAAAAAAATAAAAATTACTGGTCTTATCTATTAATTAATCATTTTAAAACAATAATGCTGCAGATAGAAACCTTCTGGTTGTTGATGAGATCTCTCAGTGATTCAACATTGTTGGTTTTGGTTGCTACAAGAGCATCTTGTTTCTTTCTTGTCATGTCAATCCAGTCCCTAAGTGATGTGCTGGTTTCTTGATAGTTTTTAAGCTGAGGCAGGTAGAGCTGCAGATCCTGGAGTCTGAAATGATTAAATTAATGTGGTGTCAGTGTGACCTAATACTACTAGTATTGTTTCAAATTATTATTACATTTGAATTTTTTTGACAGAATTCTTCTTGTCAGTGATGTTAATAACTACTTAAAAAGGGGGTAAGACGGGGTTACTCTTCTATGGAGTATTAATTATTTAGATCACCTTGTTACCTTTTATTGTTTTAAAAATGCTATATTCGTTGAAAACTATTCATTAACATATTTATTTATAAGTCACTTTCACTTGATGTTCTGTGTCAAAAATCACTCCAAGTGTCATCACATTTTAATCAGTGTGTGTTTTGATGCTAATAACTAACTACTTAAAATTCAGAGAAATATTTTTTTTTTATATTAATGTTTAAAAAATAGATACAGACCTTGTGTCAATCTGAGCTTGAATGCGCCTCCATCGATCAGACAGCTGGTTGACCTGCTCTGTGTATTTGGACAGCATCATATCACATCTGTGGTAAGGTCCGCTAACCTGGCCATTCCAGTGGGTTGCCTTTGCCAGCTCTGCCTCCATAGAGGAAACAATGTCCCTTTTATGTTCAAGTTCTACTTGAATGTTCTGAAAAATATAACAATAACCAATTGACAATAATATGAAAATATTCCAATTCCATTAAAAAATAAAAACCTTAAGTGTTGAAATGTAACTCTCCACTTCTTGGGGTGTTAGGGATGTTGTCTCCTTCTCTGTTAATCTGGCTTCATGAACTTTCACTATATCCTCTGTCCGAGCCACACTCTCCAGCATGTCTCTCAGGGCCCGAAGCCTTAAAGTAAAATGGTATGGAAATACAGGTTGAATTTTGTAGTAGTTGTATACTTGTATAATAGTTGTATAGAGAAGCAAGTATACAACATGCTTAGTAAGAGCAATATATCAAAATGATCCATCTATCTGTGCATCTGTCTGAACCATTAACATACCTCTGCAGATAGGCAGATGCACTGCTTTCCAAATCGGCCAGTCTTTGGTTGATAACTCCAATTTCATTGCGGAGGAACTGGGCTTTGTCAGAGTCACTCATGCCACCCAGCTCCTTCATGATGCGTTCCCTCAAATTCAGATAGACCTCCCTCATTAAGTCCACATCACGCTGCACCATCTGCAGAATTACATGATAGCATACATAAATGAGTGTATTCTTTTTCAATATAGGGATATGTGCATATCAGATACAATAGTAGTGCAATAATACATTGATTACAGTAGGCCTGTCACAGTAATTACTTTACTGACTTACAGTTCATTGCATAATAACTATTTTTCAGGCTCAATATTTATCAGTTTTTGTACCTGTATCTTTTTGCATTATAGTGTAGCGCTTTTTCTTGTTTTTATTTAGTAGTATGGCAATACAGTTACATGTTGTAGATGGTTGAATAATTAACATCTATGACTATCTAATCTATCTTTCTAATACATACTTGAACTAACTACTAAGTTTCTCATTCTGCTGTTTATTTATTGCTGCTCAAGCCTGCTCATGTTTTGTTTATGAATATGGTTCACTTGGGGATCATACTGGGATTATCCTGCTTTAGTGTTAATCCTGATCTTTTCTGTAGCAATATTCCAATTTGTCATTGTGACAGGCCAAGATTTAACATAATTATGTCAAGCATTCCTACCTCTAACTGTTGGATCTTAAGACTACAGTCCTGCAGCCCTTCATCTCCTAGGCAGATGTGAATATGCTGACTCAGTGTGCTTTCAGTCGCCTCCAGACGCATCCGAAGTGCCTGCAGCTCAGTCAGGCTCAGGAATGATGTAGAGGAGGATGATGATGATGAAGAATGGATAGTCCTTCTCCTGACTGGTTCCGCTTTGGTCACTTTCACAGTTCTCACCTCCACTTTCCTCTCGGACAGTTTTCTCAGCTCGGCTTTGCGTCTCTCAACTTCTTTAAGGTGACGTGCTTCCTCCTCTGCTCTTTGTGCTTCTTCTGCTAACTTCCGGGCCTCCTCAGCTCTCTTGGCCTCTTCAGCTCTCCTCACTTCCTCTAGTCTTGCTTCCTCCAACTTTCTGACCTCCTCCAACCGTCTCACCTCTTCCAACCGTCTCACCTCCTCCAGCCTTCTTGTCTCTTCCTCCAGTCTACGAACCTCTTCAAGTCTTCTCATTTGCTCCAATCTGAATGCTTCTTCATCAGGTTGCTGCTGCTGAATGATTATGAAATGCTGTGGCGGTGTTACTGTTTGCTGCAGTAGTTGTATTTGCTGGGGCTGGATCTGGGGCTGCTCAATCACTTGGACATGCTGTTGCTGATGCTGCTCAACCATTTCTTCCACCTCTGTCGTTTGCTCTTGTGCAACTGTGTAGAAAGAAATTATTATTTATAAGTCTGTTAACACAAAGTAATTATCGTTATTACATACATTTTATTATATATTTATATGATTATACCTTATTTGACACAGTCTCTTGCTATTTTTTCTACTTATTTTGAATTTATTATTGACATTTATAGTTTTGCTAATTATTATTATAATATATTGTGATGTGTGAGCTACTGTGTCCAAATCATTTCCCTTGTGGATCAATAAAGTTTGTCTAAGTCTAAGTAAAAATACAAAAATATCCCATGTTTAGTTTGAACTGTTTTAACATACTGCCACACAAATATTTTATAGTGTTAGTTTGAAAATTAAACTTTGGAAGCGCTTTCATTTGCTACATAATTGGGGAATGGAAACTTTCTTAAACATTTTGCTATATTTACTGTTGTGATGAAATATCATAATATTTTCATATTGTGGTATTGGAAGCCATATTTTGTGTAACAAGCGGTTGTGTAATCTGTTCTGCAGTATTTTCAAAACATAGCAATTATACTATATTAGTGGTTCTGAGAATGTAGAATATGATAATGCCATACTTCCAGATGGGGGGCAAGAGCCATGATTTTCCAATTATTAACATGGTATTCTCATAAGAAATATCTTAGAGGCCGATTCACAAATGTTGATCTTGATCATTTACAACAGTGACTAGATGCTAGAGCTCACTACACTATGTTTAAAAAATGCATTTTAACAGCCCATTCTGTATTAAATATTACGTTATTGCATTGTTGTTATGTTATTATGTTATGGTCTAGAATGTTGTAATGTCATCTGAAACCCTGGAATATGAAAAGCAATTATAACGCCATCACTTTCACCACCATTGTTAAATAATTATCAGTTTTTATGCAACTACTTGAACACTAACCATACGATTGCAGCTGCACCACCAGTTGGTCATAATGGGTCTGGGCGACATTGAACTGTGTTTCGATGCTCCTCTTGTCTTCCTCTGCAAACATCTGTGAGCCCTGAGAGCTGCGCATGAACTCCTCATAGTGAGACTCCAGACTCTTGATTATCTGACGGTACTCTTCAGGACGCATCTTTGCCAGCTGAACACAAGCACAAGAACATGTCACTAAATGGTAACATGTATGCTATACAAAATTAATCATATATTTAATTTGGTTACCATGGTGACAGTGAGAGAGTTAATTTTTTGTATATCCAGAAGGCAGTATTGCCAAGAGATGAGGCTTTTGACATTGATGAAGAGTTGATTCCATACAGATAGGATGGCTTCATAGTACTGCTCATTCCTTTAAACAATAACATACATTAATTCATCATGTCATGAACAGAGAGAGTCATAAGCACAGCTCTAATTGAGTTAATATCTGCTGATTCTTGTTTATACATGTAATTATTATCAAGAGACCTGTTATTAAAATATATGCCTCAATGAATGCTCATAGACCAGTCTGTATTGCTGTTCCAACCCTGTACTGAAAAGTATTGTAACATTTGATGCCTAAAGGCAAGGTTGTGCACAGCCATAGATGTGGAATCACAAGTTAATTAGGGAGTGCTAGTTACCTTATCTCTTAGCACCATTTCTAAGTCACAGTTTTGTAATGTTTTTTTTTTTGTTTTGTTTTTTACAAAACTTGGTATTTAAATGGCCTATATGCTATAATGTTGTTTCCTCATCACAAACATACGTAACACACAACACATTAACATTAACTAACAAACCCTGCATATTTAGGCTGGGTTCTTCACTCATAATGAAAAAGCTCTGTTTTACCTTGTGATAGCATGTGGTAATACAGAAAGTGCTCAGCTGTGTTTTAAACCCCGTACACCTTCCCTAGAATCATTTGGCTAATTCCAGCCCTGGAATTGCCCATCTCAACTGAACTAAAGCTGTTAACTTGAAAACTACCGCTTCATAACATCATTAGGTGGAACAGAGCATTTTGAGCTTTGGAGATGTACACAGGTCAATAATGCAGGATTACTGAAACATGTGTGAATGAAACAAAACACAACTCCAGGTAAAATTTTAAGGAGATAACAACATTTTAGCATGGCTTAAAGTTCACCCAAGACAATTTTGCATATTGTAGTACCTTTAAAATTTACTTCCACAACTAAAAAACAATAAAATATGGAAAGTCCTACAACTATAAAAGATTTTAATATGTTAATGTAAAATGTAAATAAAACTATAGTATGCAATAATACAAATACATATTTATGCAGTGGTATGTGTCCCTTACTTGTTAGCCAGGCTGATGCTTATAGGATTTGGTGGTGGGATGATCAGACACAGAGGGCACCATCATGTCCAGTCCTCCTGGTCCGGTCACCTGCCACTTACTGCGCTGACTGTTGTCCTTCAGAATGGCCTCATTATCCTTCAAGATCACCTTCTGCAAATTTTAAATAATACAAATAATGGTAATTTTTCTATACAAGCTATATATCTGTAGATTTGAGTGAAAATAATTTTGGGTAAACTGACCTGGTCCTGTTTGAAGTCACAGAGGGCTTTCACAATGACAGGGTTGCTACTTTTGGGCTCCTCTGGATTTCGAGGTTTCAGTCTCACGATGCTCTTTGACTTGATTACCAAATGCTGAACCTGTCTTTTGTGGTCCTTGATCTTCTCTCGTTCCCTCTTAATATTCAGGCAAAAAAAGTAAGAATAATTAAAAGCAACGCATTCACAAAAGATGGAATTGTAACTAGAGATCACAATAGCACATTTAAGTGCGTCACATTAATTTAGCCTCTATAATTGTGACAGCTAGCTATTATTTTTTTAGTTCTTACAATTGGTGACTTGAGTATTTCATTACTTTTACTTCATTCATCCTGACATCCCAGATTTGAACACCAATGTAACCTTACCTCCAGGGCTTTAAGAAGCTCTAGAAGTTTTTCCAGAGGAGTTTCTTTGTCACAGGTGAACCTTTTCCGCACATTCTCGTGTTCCTTTTGCAGAGATGTGTATGTCTCATTGGCCTCTTTAAAGAACTGTTACAACAACAGATTTGGTGAGATAGATTGTATGTGCAACATAGGTTGATCAGTATTGATATATAGTATGTGTCTTGTTTTATTTGCACATATCAGTCTTTTATAATCTATGGTAAGGCCTACAGATTTAAGTAAACTTGTAATTAAGTTAACAAAAAAAAAATCTCTTTTCACTGTAGTAATTTATGTTCATGATGATTATTGAAACATACAGCCTTCTCTTCGGCTTCATAGCTCTTAATTAGAAATTGAAAAAAGCTGTAGAAATTGTATGGATACCAATAAGTTAAAACATCCCCAATACCAGTAATACCACCAATATGATCCATACCCTAGTACTGTGTGTGTGCATAGAAACCCATTCTAAAGCTTGTTGTTTACTGCTGATTGTTTACATTACCTGGCTATAGGCAGCATTTTCCTTCAGGTGTGTATCAATACACTTTGTAATTTGGAGAAGCCAACTCCACTGAGTTTGCAGTGTGTCTCTGTAAGCCTGCGTATATAAATGAGATACAAACTGCATTAACAAACTGTTGAAATTAATGGTATGTAGTCGTAGAAAGCAAAATTCACACCTCAATCTTGTCAGATGCAGGATGGTTGTTTTTAAGAAGCGTATCACCTTTAGTTTTAAGTTTATTCAGATCTTTTTCCTTCTCCTCGAGCTCACTCATCAGTTTCTGTTGAAGACATTGAGGGCACACATTAACTGGGTGCAGTTACATAAACACGTTTTGTAATCTCTCCAAGTAGATGACTGACTGCAGCTGCCAAAAACCCAAGAGACAGTTGATTGGTCTCTTATGTTATGAGAGCAGATTAGCCATGCAAAAGGTATTTACAGCATTCTGCTGTGCCAAGTATTGTTACAATTGTAACTGTATAAATGTTGTGTACATTTCTGTAATATTGTGTAAAAATGAAGAGATCTGACAAACCGAGTAGCTCTCCTGTTTCTTGGGAATGTACTGGTCAATGTTTTTGTCTCCCCAGTCAAACACCAGCTCCTCCTCCTCTTTGTCGTTCACCCACATAATCTCTCTGGAAATTTCCTGGATAATCTGCAGAAGGTCTCTCAACTGCTGAATCCTTGCAAAAGACATTTGCTGAAAGTAAAGAGGAACAAAAGTGTTATATACCTTCTGTGTTATATACAGTGTTTTCCATTAATACAGGAGACTATGGTGGTCCCCCCTATAGTCTAAAATTTGACTATGCTTCCAATTGTATTATCATAAACTTATAAAAGAGACCACACTGACTGCTTAAAAATTAAATGTAGGCAGTATATTACAATAATATTCATCAAATTGAATGAGATGAAATTATAATCTTAACAAAATCTGGGAAATGCTGATATATGTTAATTATTTGGACCATAATAGACATGAATATTGCATAGGCGTGGGAGAAATCATAAAATTTCTTGGAAACAGATCACAATTTAGATTTTATCACAATTCAAGTGCAAACCTGCTTTAAATAGAGAAATAGTGAATCACCAAAATATTGGATCATTACAGGCATGAGACAAAATTGGATTTTAATCATCCTATTGTCCAGCCCTAACTATGCATGTGGTTTACCTGCAGACTGTCCCACTCTTGATCTAGCGCGTGAAGATTTGCTCTGTCACCTTTTTTCATCTAGAAGTAATGAACAAATAGCCTTCATTCAAATGCTATCAAATATTTGTATATTTTTCTTAGCTTTCAGTGGCACATACTAGGTCATCCCTGGCCTTGTCCACCTCCTGGCTTCTCTGGATGGAGCTGTGAAACTTTTGGTGGCTGATCAGCTGCTGGTCGATGGTTGTTGCATCATCTCCCCAAGGAGCAGTTTCAATCAGACGCTGGACATTTACAAAACAGAAATTACAAGGATTCAGTGGAACAAAGTGAGTTGTAAGAAGTGGTTTGAATGTGCCTTTTGTCAAAACCAAAACCAGACACAAAAATTACTAAAGAATGCTAACCTAAAACTGCACAGAGATAATATCCCAGTTTAAGTGTGTGTAGTTGGGCTGTGTCACTGACAGCGCATTGCAGAAAAATGCTGTTATCTACAAGTTCTTCTAAGCTTTTAATGAGATTTCTGTCAGTCATTTTTTACACCCTCAAACATTAATAATCATAAATCTTCAGTCCTTTAGTAATCATAAATTCCTCAGCACCGAGTATAAGAAGTATAAAATATGAATGATATTATACGCCAAACACTACATAATTTAAATTGTATTTTCTCATGTAAACAAGCAGCAGTAGCTTAATACACCAGATTGTCTCTACAGACCTTGTGCTGTCCGATCCATGCCATAGCATCCTGGTAGCTCCGTGGGGGCTCCTCCCAGCCCCCTCCTCCCACTGCAATCCCAGAGGTGCTGCCTGCTCTGCCGCTCTTTCTCCGGCGCATGGAGCCAGTTAAGGCCATGTGGACCCCCTTCAGCTGATCCTTATATATCTCCATGCTGTTTTCAGGACAAGCACAGAGTCAAGGATCTACTGCAGCAAAATACAGGTAACCAGAAGAATCCTTACGTCCTCATGACGTTTTCACTGGGCTGACCCAACTGCCGCAGGTCCAGGGCACAGCTCTTCAGCTGTTCGATGGTCTCTCTGGCTTTGATCATGAAATGCTCTGCATCTCCAGAATTGCCCTATAACACAACAAAATACTTTCAGAGTGCAGCAATATACCGTTACAACTGCATGGTATGAAGTTTGGTTATACTTTTAACAAAATAAGTTTTATCATGTGCTAGTATGTTTTGCAACACAGTGTAACTATGTAACTTCAAGAAACATTACAGCTAAAACATTTCACACAGATAAATCAGGTGAGCATGTCCAAAAAATAGCAGTAAAATCAACATAAGTTAAGATGACAAAGATATACAGATTTTTAAAATCACTGTATGACACTAAGATTACTAAGAATAGCCTGCTCATTGTCAGCTCATCGACATAACTGGATGGCTGCCACTCTTTGCAGCTAGATGCCAGTAAACGTTGTAAAACATAGGATGATCAGGAGCGCACACAAGGTTTATTTACACTGAGATGTGCAAAGTAATAAACCTCTGATCGTGGTTTGTGACTCACAATTTGAAGGGCGTATTCAGCTTGCTTCAGGTATTCTTGGCAGTTGTTCTGAAGCATCATGGCTTTCTGGTGGACAGCATGAGTGCTAGAACTGCAAACAGCAAATATAATAATATGTCATTTTGTCTTAATTTTTTATTAATACAAGACCTCTGCAATATATCTAAATAGAATTTTTACTAAAAATAAATAACTAAACCAAACTGAAAAGCTGCAAAAAAGGTATATAAATGTGAAGCAGTGTAAGCTTCAAAAAGGGGTTAAAAAAATATTATATGTCTGCCATTTCTGTTTTAAATTTTATTGTTTGTTTACATACTTGAATCTCAACCAAGACATTTATAACATAATTGTTATCAACTCAATATAGGAGCAAGTTTGTGGGAAAGTAAAAAAGCCTGACAAAAGATAACTGTTGCCAGATAATTTGCATATTATTATCCCATATTTACGCTGTTCATGTCCCAACAGAACTATATTTGTGAAGTAGTGGGAGCTTCATTATAATGCTCATTACCTGTCACCAGCTTACACAACAGATGGTACAGACCTTTCTTTACAGAGGAGCAGTCATACATTTCTGCTAAAACTGACAAGAGCATCTCTGTAATAGCAAGTGAGTGTACAGTCGCTACAGCAGATGGAACTTGACGCTTCATTGTGAGCCATAAATCAATACAAAGTTACCTCCAGAGCTGGGACGGGTTGAGCAACTGCAGGGTAACAAGGGCAAAATGGTCATTACACTGTGGCCCTATTCAAATCTCAATCACTGTGGTAGTTTGTTAACATGACAGGATCTTTATTCACATTGTTATGTACTAGAGGAGGCTGATGTTGACAAAAATGTATGTATTTCTTTTATTATTCCTATGACAAAAGTCAATTAGTTCAATTCAATCAAGTACCGAAACCTAATAACCAAACCTAATACGGAAAGTGTCTGTGTTTGAAAAATGACGCTGCAAGGTTTTGGACTACCACATTTAAGGTAATGTTATATTCTGTTGGAAGGTCTGCCATCTGCTTGTTTCATGGAGATATTCTATAAACCATCTATCTTGCATTTATTCAATAAGAAGTGTTTATATTGTAAAAACTTAACCAACATGCGTTCTTACTCTGAGCAGACTCACCTCTCCAAAGATCTGACCAGTAATTTGGCCTGTTTGCAACACCTGCTTGTCTCCATGGATTTAGATATTATGACATTTCAGGCAAAACAATAACAGGATTACAGGTGGCGGACTCTCCACGAGAAAGGCACCTCAAATCACCTCTTTTTGTAACTTTTTAAAGTTGTTCTTCAGAATGACAACTGGGATTATTTTTTCAATATATTTCCCACTTTTTTTCAGGAGACACATTATCCATGGGTTTTACGTGAGGGCTGTTTAGCAATAAACAATTCCAAATAAAAATATAATTTGAGGCAAAATTCCTTTAAAAGTCAAATGGTTCAAAACAAAAAGAAGTGATGTCACCGAAAAGCAATGAATAAAAGCACCAAGGGATTCCTCTGTTACAACACTCACAGGCAGTAGGCCAAGACCTTTTGTTGAACTTTAACAACAAAGAGCACCTTCATATAGACACACGGTTTTGTAAATAGTGTAATCCTAGGCCCTGATGGTTACTGTCAGTAACAATGCATATCAGATATAAATATAAGATAAATGTTTCATAATGCCATTTCAAAATTCAGAAACACCTAATCAAGAGTCTATAGCCTAAAATAAGTGCAATGGAGCAGTAATTAATACTCCATACTATATATGCTTGTACACTTTTGGTTGTTGTATGATTGGACAGCAGCTATGCTAACTGAATTCAGTGACACAGTCAAGTGTCTAATGACTCTGTTGCCGTCAGGATGCTATCGATTTCGACTCTGTGCATTATAAGACTGGTGTTTTCTGCTTCTGCATATAGTTGCCTGACATAGTAGCAAAATCCTTGCAATTTGCAGCAAAGTAGCTGTTGACAAAAGAGGTGGGGAACGACAAAATTATAAAACTATCACCTGTACTTAACAGACAGAGCTCTATCATCGTTATCTAAAGCGCTGGAGACTTTAATTTGACTTTCATGGTTAAATGAAACTACCAGCCAAGTCATTTATGCATTGAGTTGGCTTGTATTAATTATTAATAGCTGCTTCTGCAGGACGAATAAACTCACCAGCTCACCTTTACAGTCTAGCAACAAATAAGCCCAGAGACATTAGCCTTGTATTTTTGTTTCGTGAATGTTTTAGACATGTCTATAGGATACAATTGCCATAAAATAATCTCAAATTTGTCAAAGCAAAAATCCAGCGGAGACATACCTCATCCCGCTCCCCATGGTCTTGGCGGTGAAGCTGTACGTGTTGTATCCGTCCATATAGGGGTCGTATCCATTGCCCCCTCCCTGCAGCACCTCACTGCGCGCGTAGCTGTATGTTCCTCCGCCGCCGAGGTCGCTCTTGGAGCTGACCCTCCTGTTCAGACCCTTCTGGGAGCCGTACAGACTCATGTTGAACCCGTGAGCAACTTCCAGAGGGGAAAAGTCCTTGCGTGTCCCGCAGAGGACGGTGCACACCGGTCCGTGTACACCTGTCCGCCTGGTCCCTCTGCCTGTCCCTCTGCACAGTGCGCGCTCTGTCCGGGGGACTGGGGAGGATCACTTCAGCAGAGGAATAACCACACCTCTCGAAAGCGCTGAGTGGGAACTTTTGCCTCTTCTTTGGAGACACACCCCTTCCATAACATTGACTCCGCTGGAGGTAGGGACATTGAGAAAGCTCTGATAAGTGTTACGAGCTGTTAATAGGAGAAAGTTGTTCTGAAACGTTGTGTAACAGCAGCCATTTTTCAGTATCACCAATACTTGATTACAAGGTGTAATCAAGCATGACATATTGGCCTATATACATGACTGAAGCCTATTATGCACATTTTTGTTCGAGATAGGGTTTAAAGATGCACTATGTAGCTTTTCTGGTGGAGAGTCCGCCAATTGCTTGTGTCCATGCTTTTGCCATTGCTTTGCCTGGGATGTTCCACAGTATAGCATTAAACATACATATCTATATTATGTATAATATATTACAATATAGATAGATATGACACACAGATCTGACTTGTAACTTGGTCTGCATGGTGTCATCTGATTGTCTCCATGATAGATAATTCGTAAGAAATACTGAGGAACATTACAGGCAAAGCAATATCATCTCCATGGAGACAAGCTGATGATCGACCCTCCACACAAAGGTTACATAGTGCACCTTTAAGTGTGCAAATATATATATGGCTTCTCAGTAGAGGGACAAGAAAAGCAAGATGCAAGTGAGAATGTCTAATAACCATTTAAATGTTGGTGGTCGAAGAGGAGACAAAGAGGTGATGATTGACAATAATATCTCAGTCACTATCTTCAAACTTTCTGTCTCTCTTCTCTCAGACCAGCCATCTGTCCAAAGACAGCACATATCTAATCTAATCTGTATCTCTGCTTTGACACTTGCCTGGAGTCATAGGTGGGACTTGCAGGAAAAACTAGTTTGACAGCTGTAAATAAAATGACAGTGAGTTTGCTCTGAACAGCAATGTGAGATTCAACAAGTGCCTCTAGTCTACAGTGTGTACATATTTGAAATAAGCGAGGATATTGATATTTGCAATGCTCAATAACAAAAATAATAATAATCTTAAATGCACAAGATGGAGTACATTTGATAGAGGTTTAAGGTTTAAGCACATGCAGCAGGGAAAGAGAAAGAGCATTTTTCAATATTATCTTGACCTAGTTCGGGATCCTATCCTTGGTCAAAAGAAGCAAGTAATTTAAAAGTCTGCAGATTAAGAATGAATCTCAACTAAGACAATAACAGGTAGGTATGTTATATCACATAAGTGAAATTGTTATTGTATGAATCCAAAAGAATATAGACTTAAACTTAGACAAGCTTTATTGATCCACAAGGGAAATTATTTGGACACAGTAGCTCACACATCACAATATATTATAAGAACAAAGTGAAAAAAATATAAATGGTAATGATCAATTAAAATTAAGTGGCAAAAATAAGGCATTTTTTCTAAATGTAAAGTAAAAATAAAAAATATAAAATTATAGTAATACAAATATATTTCAGCTAGATACAAGAGGCCATAAGGAGAAAGTGCAAAGATGAAAAAGTAAAATAGTGATTGACATGATAGACAGTTATCTTAATTCTTATTTATATTTAATTCTTAAATCTATTACATAAAGTTGAGTTGTTGTACAGTTGTATGTAGTATGGTATAAATGTAGTCCTATATGTCTCACTGTTTAGCAAATAAGTTAAGTTTTTGAGTAGTTGTAAATGGTGGTGAAGAAGAGTAGGCTGTAGTACAATTTGTGACTGATACTGTCTCTAGGTTTACAAGCATACTTCTGCAGAGATGTCAGATTCACTGTCCATATGTTTCTTTCTGCAGGAATGTTGCATGTATTTGGAATCAGTGGTGTTATAATATGATATCTGACAAGACATCAGGACAACCCATAACAGAAATATTTAGCCTCTAGTCACCTTCTGACTACACTCTGAGTGTGAAAAGACTTATCTTGTGTACAGCTTTGCAAGCATACCTCTGCATATGGGTAGTTCTGCAGTGGGCTTTAAAAGTGTCATCTAGTGTCAAAATGAGCTTCAACTGTTACATTCACTGTTCATGTGTTTCTTTCTGCAGGAATGTTGCATGTACTGTATTTGGAATCAGTGGTGTATGAATGTGAGAACATGGTATATGAATGGCACAATTGTAGGGAAAAGATGCCTTTATAATTTTGTGGAATTGTGAAAACAACTTAAAAATTAAAATTGCAGTAAAGCAGAGCACATTTGTAGAGATCTAAACTTAAAAATGCACAAGTCTACTACTTTAAATCCTGTAGAGAGTTACACTGTCACCTTTTGTGCAGTATCCTCATTGTAAGTGTTCAAACAAAGCTTTGTGTCTATCCTTCAGACAGGTGGTTGGCCAAACAAAATATTGGCTTATTCTAAAGCTTAAAGGTCGATAGCTCGTATGTGAAAATGCTTGCCTTCAAGGAAACTTTTTTGCTTTGTTTGGAATGTTCTACTGTATTGTTTTAAACTTTTCGATCTCTGTGGAGTCCAGTAGGTGACAATACCAAGTCAGAATGGTGGAAAAATTAATAGTTTTTCAAACTATTTAAAACACCAGTAATTTAAGAAATGCAAGCAGCCTCTACCTGAAAAGTTACACAGTGCACCTTTAATAACTGTAGTAGTCCAGTTTGCATAAATTCTGTTGTTATGGGGCATTTTTACGTTTGTTCAAGTGACAAGTTCAAGTGTTTTTGTGGTTCAAAAATATAATTAACAGCTTTAAAATATTCTCAGGACAAAAAAGTCCCAACTTAACACTGTGCTGTTCCCTGTGGCAAAAGACACTTATGAACACGCCTTTACCTGCACTTAAAAAGCACAGATATGCAGTCTGAGCCAAAGCAGCATTCCTCTGCAAGAGAAACCATTGCTTATTACTGCTTGCACACTAATTTGCCATTTTTAGAGTCACTAGTAATAGTCTTCAAAACCCAGAAAAATAGCACTTTTCGAATTGTACAAACACGGTTAACATGAATTTCAATTTTAATAATGTTAGGATTCAAAGGTTTTTTTCAACTGTCCCCACCCTGTGTATCTCTCATTCCTGATCACCGCAGACACGATAAGGCTTGTACACGGAAATGGGACTCCTGTGGTTACCCGATCGACACTTTATATGTGAATTATAATGAATACAAATATGTACTTTTAATGACCGAGGTAATGTTTATTCTTTAATTCTTGCAATAGTTGTCTTTTGGTTTTTGTACACTCCACTTTTGTCAAATACATATCATGCATTTTATTTGCATATATTTTTCTTGCAGCTAGCACAGGTTACACAAAATTGACTCTTATGAGCTTTAAGCCATGTTAGAATGTTGCTACATCTACAACAACATAACAGGAGTTGTGTTTCATTCGCACATATTTGAGTAACCTTTTTATTTATTAACCTGTCTACATCTCCAAAGCTCAAAATGCTCTGTTCCACCTTGTGAGGTTCCAGCTACCTTTTACTTATTTCGATAAAGACTGGTGATTCCAGGCCTGAAATGATCCAAATGATTAAGATGTACGGAGTTTAAAAACACAGTGGCGCACTTCCTGTATTACTGCATGACATTACAAGGTGGAAGAAGAAGAAGAAAGAAGAAAGAAGAACTGAGCCTAAATATTCAGGGTTTGTGTGTTAAACGTGTGAATAAAACAAAAGACAACTCCAGGTATCTTTTTGATTAGGAAACATTAAAACATGTATCTGAAATTAGTGTAATATGAGCCCTTTAAGAGACTCCAGTTATATGTACAAGCAGTCCTGTAATTGTGCACCAGGAAATAGACTGCTCTTGTCCCAGAAAGTAGATTTATGTGAAACTATGCTGCTACAAGGAGCACTTAAACCTCCTTAACCCACTTTGATGTCACATTTGCTTCAGTTCATTCTTTTGTTACTGTAACTCATCCCACCAACCTCTCCAGTATATATCCCCTGGACAAACTTGTACAAACAGTACTCAGAAAAGCTGAATCATACTAGAGAGTGTTGACGTTGCCTTAATCTTTGAGGCTTCCTACTGTAAATCCTCCGTTTATGAATGTTTGTCTAAGAATTTTAAAAAATGTGGTTCTCCAGTCAAAACAATGAAATATAATATACTATTTTGAGTGATTAATGGTTGTGTCTAGGGCTGCACAGTATTTCACAGTCAAATTAAAATCTAAATTTGAATTGGCTCAATCACCAAATTGCAAAGGCTGCAGATAATAGGATGTCATCTGCAAAGAACAATATATCTGGTCTTTAAAAAAAATGTGACAAATGTAGTTTAGACTATACTTTGAGGGAATGGCTTCTTTTATCATCTACAAAAACACCAGAGTGGAGTAAGAGCCAGGCCTCTCCGGCTGTGATGCTGCAGGACACAGAGGAGAGACACTTTTGGCTCTTCCACAGGATCTGCTGACCCTACCTGACCATTCCTCCTGTTAAACTGCACTGAGACCTTTGACTGAGACACAAAGGTGACTGAGAAGTGCAGTGTAAATGTTGCTGCAGCAAGACTAAAATTTCCCTTAGGGTTAGTAAAATATCTCTCTCTCATGTTACGAAATTCATGGGATTCTTGTAGTTTAGTTGTTCATATTTCAGTCTTCTGTCAAATGTTAATGCTCCTGGAGTTGTTTACAATAAGCACAACAAAACAAAATCATATTTTTTAAAAACATATAATACAAATCTATTTGCAAGCGCTATATGTTTATTCTACCAAAATCATGCAGCCCTGTATCCCTATATTTATTGGTTTACACTTATTTGCCAAATTAAAGGTGCCCTATGTATATTGTCTGTTGAAAGGTCTGTCACCTGCTTGTCTCTGTGAAGATGGGCCTAGAATGTTCCACAGTATGACCAAAAACATATGAATCTCTATGGAGACTT